AAACGCGTACAGACTAGTAGTGCGGGGGTGCTGGGGGTGTAGGAGTGGTGGGGTGAGGTGAGGTTGGGCGTTGAATGAACGGGCGGGTGGAAGGGACGAAGGAAGGGCTTACCGTGCTATCGACCTAGAACGCGAGGCCGTGCGGAGGATACTCGAGCATCGTGTCTATACATTGCATACCAGCAAAAACAAAAACAAAAACAAAAAAAAACATAATTTTGAGAAACCTATGAACGGAAGGAGAGAGAGAGAGAGAAGTGTTTGGGTGAACGCACTGCCATGACTATTTGCTATTTTTCACTTTTCACCAGCCTTAGTCTTTCGTCGTCGTCGTGTGCAATGTCCAACCACCAATGGCAACTTGAAGTTTGTCCTAACCAAAAAATCAATGAAGGCGGCGGCGAAACGCGGTTTTCTTTCGCACAAATGCGGAAGTGGCGGGAGTTTGGTGCTGTTTGGCAACGGCTTTTTAGTCGTTACTTGCCGCTTTGGTGAGCTTGGGGTCATGGGACTTCTACGGTGCTATGAATGACTTGGAATTTGAAAACCTTTGGACGTTTCTACCTGCATCTGTGTCTCTTGCTGTACTGAAGAAAATAAATCTGCTTCTGATCTGTTCGATGCAATACACGTACTCAGCTTTGTTCGACACGTGGGGAGCCAGAATCTCAGAGTACACTCAGCTCAGGCGGGTCGCGGCGTCGAAACGATATCTACGACGAGAATTCCACTCACTTCAAGTTTGGACTGCAGTCCCCGCCTCTGCTAACGCGCTGTGGTCTTGTGCGCAACCCGGATCCAAGTCAGGCTCGCTAGTTGATTATTGATTTTTGCATACAGGCCATACTCGACTCTCATAGGTGGACGAAAGCATGGACATCATCATTGACATGGAATCTCTTCTGAATCCCATTTCTTCTGCATCCATTCCATTCCATCCGCATCTTGAGGGCGCCGCATCTCCAACTTGCGAGTTCTGAACGCGTCAACATTGTTACATCGTACATGTCATGCTAACGCTTATCTCTCTGGGCTAAACTCCATACTCAGCCGAGGCAGAAACCAAACTTCAACTATAAACGGCCACTAGAGCCTGAGTCTGAACACTCTGACAGGAAGAACCGGTGGGCGTTGGCGTTTGGAAGCACTCGGAAGTTTTGCGTGGCATGATAGCACGTCATCGAGTCTCTGTCATCGCCCGCATCGTATCATATCAAAGCCCCTCAGCGCTCTCTAGCAAAACTTGCAAAATTGCGAAACGGGTCCAGGCAAATTGCCGTCTCTTCGATCAGCTTCTGGCTCGGATGTCAGAGAACGAAGGAGATAAATTCAGGCTCGCTACGCAGGGTTAAAGTAAGCCATATCTGACATCAGTCATCCATCCTCACTCAGGCTCCGAGCGCTCAAAACTCAACATGTTATTAGATTTATTATTTTGCCTCGCTCTTCTTATGCACTAAGTAAGTTTATGACATTTGATCGGAGGGAGAGGCTTTGTCAACGGTTTTCAGGTTAGCTCTTGCTGAAATGAGCCGGCCGCCCCCCATACCACTGGCACGCGCATCATGCCGCATTTAATTTCTATTTCTGACCATGGCAAAAAGGTTCCTTCGAGTTCCTTCCCTCAGGCTCGAAAGTTGACGGTTCTTGAAAGCTTGAAAACTTGAAGGGACGCCCTAGTCGGGACTAGCACATATCATAGCGTAGGTTCAAATGACATGTCTTCGAGCTCCAAGCTCCAACTTGAAGTCCGACTGAGACCTTTCGAGGTTCTCTATACGTATACTTGTGATAAGCACCCTCGAAAAATGGACGCCATCTTGAACTTGAAGGGTCTTGGACGGGACAGGTGGTATGGCCGGGAGCCGAGAAGGACCTTTGGGATTATCCTTATTCCTTGCGCGTATACCGAGGGTGACGGTTGAAGAAGGGAAGCCGGAGGGGAGCTAATATACGTACTCTTTGCAATTTTTGGGCGAGTGTGCGCGAGGCGAGGCGAGGCGAGGTCCGGCGGCGGAAAGTCGTGTCGATGAATGACCACAGTGGCATGATGCATAAATGGATTGAAATTGCCTATCAGATTGTATTACTTACTGGTTACTGACCGCAGCCAAGCCAGTTGAGACTTCTGAAGAGGCGTTGATAGAGAGTTGACAGAAGTGATAGCCTTGTAGTACTACGCGGCGACAATAGAAAGGGTGTAGTAAGTTATGTTGAGGTATCTAGAATGCTGTCGTAACTTGACGACACAGCCAACAGAGAACAGACAAACGACAAGGCTGATTCGGCAGCGAGATAAGTAGATTAAGCGTTGATGAGGAAGGCCGGCTACGAAGAACTTGAGTGAAATAAAACGGAAAAATGGGAGGATGTGCGATGCGAATGAAATATAAACTAGGAACCCGTCGTAAGTATGTCAAGAAGATGAGATGAAGGGCGAACATAAGGTAAGTTGTGGAGATATATCATGAAAATGTTGAAATAGGGAAAGATTAAACCGGTGAGTTGGGAGTAAAGAAGACAGTCTGGCGTCGGCTTTGTACGCTTAAGGGATTAGCAGAATGAGAGACCCTGAGAGGATGGTCATGGGAGCTGACGAGGGATAGACGTGTGGCAGATTGGACTCGGGTGTGTGGTATGGTTACAGGCTACGTGTTGAGGACTGGGTTCCCTCGAGTGGCACAAGTTGCCAGTGTCAAACGCATGTCGCACGTCGCACGAGAAGGGGTCTCACGAGGAGGCAGCGGTAGTTGCCAAGTACATAGTGTCAGGTGGCAGGTCGTGCTATGTTGCTTGTTTTATTTTAAAAAGAGAAGTTAATTGAGGGAAAGAGTAGTATGATAGAGCGGTTGCTAGTGAGAGATTGAGGGAGGACAAGCTAGTTTACTAAAGCGTCAGGGAGAGTCCCAGGAGATGGAGCGGACGCAAATTGGGATAAGAGAGTGGCGTGGGAAGGGTGATTGGTGTTGTTGGAGGACGAAAAAGGAGATTGATGATAGCCAAGTTGGTCAAGAAGGCACGGGTGCAAGGAAGGGGAGGACAGCGGCTGAGACGAAGCGCGCAGGAACCCGGGGAAGGGAGATAAACCCTCCGACTCGTGAACAGGAATTGGTAATGAACGATCAGCTCAGAGATCTGGACAGAAGATCGCTCTCAGATCCCTAATCGTTTTCTCGACTGTCCCGATTCAGCATCCTCCTTTGCACTTGCCTCTTACAAAAGCCAAACCGTCCCAACCCACCACCCTACCACCTTTCCCTCTTTTCAAGGTGCTTTCCCTCTCTTTACTAACTCCACACCAATGGCTGCCCTCGACAACACGTGCGTCTCCCCTCCTCCTCCCTCCTCTCCCCTCCTCTGACCCCTCTCCCCTCTTAGTTTTGGCGCCGCTCTGATCGGTGTCGTCGTTTCAGCGACGTGAGTTTTCATCCCTCCACTTCATCTCACTTGCCTCATTCAATCATCTTGCAGCCTCTACGGAGGTAAGTCTACGCCACCGGTCTCCTTTTCCTCTCCCGACAACCTCCTCCCATAGTCACATGCGTTCAGACCTGGTACTACTTCGGTCAATACCCAAATGACACTTGGTACATCAAGCTACTCGTAATGCCATTCCCTCCTGTCCCCTTTCCACCGCTCATTCCCCACCTCAGGTTGCCGCCGTCCTCGTCTCGGACACCATACATCAAATCCTCATCTCGCACACAAGTTCGTTTCTCAATTGCCTCCGCTATCATCAAATTCCCTCATCATACTATTCCAGTATATACATATCTTGTAACAAACTTTGGAGATCCCGCTGCACTCGGTGACCTCGTCTGGTACGTCCTTTTCCACCCCACGCCTTTTTACTCGGCTCACCCTCTCTATTCGGCTCGCAGGAGTCTCATAGTAAGTCCATCACCGTCCTACACCCACTCCCCGTATCTCACCGCCCGCGCCTACCCTCTCTCGTACACCAGGTCGAAGTCCTATTCAATGTAACTATCTTACCACCTCCCAACCTCCATTACTCAACTAACCGGCCTTTTTTCTCTTTCTCACAGGGCTTCACAGCGCTCATGGTCCAAAGGTGAGGCGTCGCTCTCACGTGAGCCGATGTGTTAACGTCGCTAACCTCGGTCTTCCCCTGACAGCTTCTTGGCCATGCGCATCTGGCGATGTACGTAACATGGTGTAGTTTCGCCGGGGGGACGTTCGAGACTGATGCATTTTCTATTTTGGCGCAATGTAGTGAGCGGAAAGAGCTGGATTGCCACGGGTGCTGTGGTACGTTACCATCTCTCGCCCTTGGGTGGTAAAAATGTTTTGGCGGGATTGCTCATTCGTGATGTCTTTTTTTTGTAGATGATCTTGGTGTTTGGAGAGTTTGGTGAGTGTCTGTTTTTTGTGGTGCATTTTGGGAGTTGCAACTGACATTGATTTTGATATAGGTTGCGTTCTCGGTATGTCCATCCCAAAATTGCCTACACCTCAATCCCAAATCTAATCAAACATTACCTTCGCTCAGCCTACGTCGGAAAAGCGTACGTCCCCTTCCCTCTCTCCCTTTCCTCCCGTTAACATCCCTCTCAGTCTCGAACTCGAAACATTCGCCCAACTTGGCACACTAAAGGTGCCGTAGCCTCTTCACCAATCGCAACTGCAGTTTAACTGACGAGATGATGCGATTTTCTTTCTATTTTTAGGACCTGTCGATGACGGTTAACGCCGTGGCAGCAGCCGGAGACGTGTTGATCGCTGCCATTCTGTGTACTCTGTTGCAAAATTCTCGTACTGGGTTCCGGAGGTTAGTCTCAGCGTTTTTTCTTTCCCTTCGGGATATACTCGGTTTTTCGGCACCGGGGGTGGTGTGCTTTTTCCGTGTTTTCTTGTCGAGTGGGGAGAAATTTGAGTGCTGATTTGATTTTGCGGCTTAGATCTGATACCATCATCAACAAACTCGTAAGTCTAAACTTCCTATTCGTGTACTCAAATTGCGGCGTGCAAACCCGCGGCGCCCCCTCCATCACGGCATCACCCACACTCTTGCTGACGTCCCTTCGCCGCATCAGATTTTGTTCAGCATCAACACAGGGCTGTTAACCAGTATCTGTGCAGTGGCTTCTCTTATTTCTGTACGTCCTTCCATCCACATCTGTTCCGAGCTGGCGTGATCACCCAAAGGGGTGATGAGGCGGTCCCGGTGAATTGATGGGGTATTGAATGGTCTTACTGATGCATGGCGTGTTGTCACCGCAGATCACGGCAGCGCCTACCACGTTCATTTACATCGCTTTTTACTTCTGCCTCGGTCGCCGTACGTCTCTTTTCCTTGTCCCTTCCCCGCCTTCCCTTCCCCGTATGGCTCGGGGATGGGGGGGTGTGACGAAACTCGGAACAGATGGCTGATCCGGCATCTTTGTTTGCGCTCTGATAGTGTACTGCAACTCTTTGCTGGCGACGCTCAACGCACGGAAGGGTATCAGAGGCGAGTCGCGCGGGGAAGACGTGTCGCTCTCGCTGCAAGGTCTGCCCAAGACGTCGAACACGATGCTCACGTCGTCACATTCCAAGGTGGGTTCCGCTGCCGTGTTTTGCTTCGATTTATTTTATTGCGATGGGCGGCTGACGTGCTGGGTGTGTTAGCGGGTACCGAACAATATCTCGATCAAGATCGATACGACGCATGAGTATATGCAGGACGAGGTGTGTTGTCTTTTTTTTTCTGGGTTTCGCGGCATTCGATTTATGATGTGCTGAATGTGCTTTGCAGTACGCAGACTCATCACCCTCTGACCGGGACGTCAAGCTAGAGGTCTGAGGTGGTCGACAAGCGGATATCACATGTCTCCTCGCTCGTCGCTTCCCGACGAGGAGGCAGAAAACACAAAAGAGCAAAAAAGTTGTACTTAATGGGATACCCCACCCGTAAAAAAATGTGATAAAATAAAACAAGTGGACGGTTTTTCTCATTCATTCATTCATTCATTTCATCATTCCATCATTCATGTTGTTTCGCATGGTTGATCGAACCCGCCACTTTTTTTGGTTGACCACCGCTTTGCTATTGCGCTCTCTGTTCTGTGATGCTGACCGTGCGTGCGTGCGTCGTTTTTGTTCGTGTTTGCGTTTGCGTTGCTTTTGGCATGAGGAGGGGTGGGGCGCGGTTCGATGTCGGTCGATCGATGGATCGATGGATGGATGATGGTACATATGCATATAGTCGTAGTACACACTTTTCACTTCACTTTGTGTTCGCAAGTTCAAGTTTCACCGGCATGTGTTTATACGCTTTTATTTTATTTTTTATACCTTTTTGGCACGTGATACCATTTGTACTGTATTTGACTCCCATTGATAGGTTTTTTCATAGAAGTGTTTTGGAATATATGGTTGGTTTGCATTGAATGAATGAATTTGGGGTGTGTGCGCTTTTGAGTTTGGGTCTGGGTTGTGTTTTCGTCTGGGGAGTTTGAATGAGAGTGCGTAGGGTGCCAGTCAGAAGGCGGTACGGGGTGCACTGGTGAGACGACTCGATAACCTGTGTGCGTCATAGACATCGGTCTGCGTCTATTGGAACTGAGTGACGACAGTCGATGCGTGTACAGCCCGAGTATCATAGTTTTTGGTCAACCGAGGGCCCCAGTAGCCGAGCTAAGTAAGATGACGCGACGATAGGTCGGCAAAGATGTGGAGGGTGTGAATGAGGCGTTTGGATGACGGGGATCGGACGAGGGTAGGGTCAGGTAAATGATGATGCATGCGGCGGGGCCTGGGGGGTGTCAATGGCGCATCGACAGACTCGGACAGTCATGCTAAGATACGGTGCCGACGACGTAGGGAGGCCTAGCACTCGGAGTGGCGTCGATGGTCGTCAACGCGTCAACGCCATTGAAAAATTTTCAGCTTTGAATTAGATTAAACATGTATATTATTAATAATCATATGATGAACCTGAATAAAGGAAGAGTGTGGAGATTGGACGGCTCGGCGGAGGCGGTGGACCGGGTTTTTGAATGATCGAAGCGATCGAGAAAAGTGACCTCCATGAAATGGGCCAACGGGTAAACGATCACTGGCTCTGCTGTCACGCCTACCGTAGCGAAAGAACGGAGAGAGAAAAAAGCAAGACATAGCGATATGTCGGGTGCGCTAAAGAGGGATGTCGAGATATCGAAGGTGTGAGTGGGAGCGGTAGTCAGTAGCGTGATATGGCGTAAGGCGACAGGGCGGAGGCTATTGCGAAGAAGAAGCGGAGGGACATTGAGAACGGGATGGTTTTGGGTGGATTGGGCAGAGTGTGTGAGGGGCGATAGGAGGAACAGGTGAAGATGGAGTTGAGTGAGGGCAGAAGGGGATAGTGAGTGACCGGATAAGGAATGCCTCGTGGTGTGCCTTGTGTGAGATTCGCAGGAGATGGACGCCGTGTGCTGACCAAGCACGATCACGATCTGAAGGACAGCGCCGAGGAGATGGAGGCTATAAACACGGACTAGTCTCTCGACTGCATTCGCCCAGTCTTCCCTTTCAAATACGCACTTGTCTCACTCTACCCACACTCCTTTTCCCTCCAACCACCAACGACCATGCTCGACTCTGTCACTTGGCTCGATGTCTCCCTCGCCGCCCTCGCCGTCTTCCTCGTACAACGCGTCCTCACCAACACCAAGCCCTCCCTCCCCCTTCCCCCGGGCCCCAACAGGATGCCCCTCCTCGGCAACCTCCTCGACATGCCCTCCGATAAGCCCTGGCTCACTTTCGCCGACTGGGGCAAAAAATTCGGCGACATCTCCTCCGCCGTCGTCCTCGGCCAACACATCATCGTCCTCAACGCAGTCAAGCCCGCCATCGACATGCTCGACAAGAAGAGTGCCGTCTACTCTGACAGGCCCGTACTCCCCATGGGAGGCGAGCTCGTAGGCTGGAAGAACACCCTCGTCCTGCTCCCCTACGGCGATCGCTTCAGGGAGTACCGCAAGAACTTCCACCGCGTCATCGGTACTCGCGCCAACCTCGAAAAATACCACCAAGTCGAAGAAGTAGAAACTCACCGCTTCCTCCAACGCGTCCTCGCAAAGCCCTCCGACCTCTCTGCCCAAGTCCGCAAGTAAGTTTGCTCTATTGTTCTTATGGTGCCATCCACTCACAATACTCACAGAACCGCTGGTTCGATCATTTTGCGCATCTCTCACGGCTACGAGGTCAAGGAAACAGAAGACCCTTTTGTCCAACTCGCAGATCGTGCCGTCGCTCAGTTCTCCGCTTCGACCGCAACAGGTGCCTTCATGGTCGACGTCATGCCTGCCCGCAAGTCTCTTCACCTTTTTGTTTCATCACAACACTAACCCTTCTTGTCTTAGTGAAACACGTCCCAGACTGGTTCCCCGGCGCCGGCTTCAAGGTCAAGGCGAAGGAATGGTCCGCTACACTCGAAGAAATGGTCGCCATGCCTTATCGTTTCGTTAAAGACCAGATGGCAAGTCTCCTCACCACCTGCCATATTTAGACTTTCCGTCTTATCCCCTTTTGTATTCACAGGCCGCCGGTATCGCTCCCCCTTCATTCACCTCCAACCTCCTCGACGCAAAATCCCTCAGTGCCGAAGAAGAGCACGTCATCAAATGGTCCGCCGCCTCCCTCTACTCCGGCGGCGCCGACACCACCGTCTCCGCCATCTACTCCCTCTACCTCGCCATGCAGCTCTACCCCGAAGTCCAACGCAAAGCCCAAGCCGAGATCGATGCCGTCGTGGGTAACGACAGGCTGCCGACGTTTGCTGACAGGGAGTCCTTGCCGTATGTCGAGGCGTTGGCGAAGGAGGTGTTGAGGTGGAATGTGGTGGTGCCCCTTGGTGCGTACATGGGCTGGTGTGCAGCTGTCGGTGACTTATGTTGGGATTGATAGCTGTACCGCACCGTGTGACGGAAGACGACGTCCATGAAGGCTACCTCATCCCCAAAGGCTCTCTCATCATGCCCAACATCTGGTACATGCTTCACGACCCCCGGACATACGCCAACCCCTCCGAATTCGACCCGTCGCGGTTCTTGAAGACCGAGGGCAAAGAGCCCGAAGTCGACCCCCGCACGATGTGTTTCGGCTTCGGTCGTCGGTGAGTCTCCCCCCTTCTTCATCGTCTCATTATCGAGTGCGATTCTGACTTGATTCCCTCGCCCACGTGAACAGCATCTGCCCAGGCCTGCACCTCGCCGACGCCTCCGTCTTCATCTCCTGCGCCATGTCCCTCGCCGTGTTCAACATCTCCAAGGCCGTCGTGAACGGCGTGGAGGTGACGCCCGAGGTGGACCCGTCGTCGGGGACGATCAGCCATCCGAAGCCGTTTGACTGCTCGATTCGGCCGAGGTCGGCGAAGGCGCTGGCGTTGGTGCAGCAGGAGGCGAGGTATTGAGCGGTTGGGCTGCGTTCACTTGTTGAGTGTGATGGCAGAGGGAGGGGGCGGGTTGGTGACGCCGCGGCGATGCGGTGGTCGGAATGAAGAAGTAGGATGGGGTAGACAAGGAGGGACTCTGGAATGAGTCCGGCATCGACATAATCAAAGCTTTTTTTCTCTCTCTCTCTTTGTCTGTCTCTCTCAAGTTATTTTCGCTAATGTATCTTAACCCATCTATGCATTACACACATACACACGCCTCGCCGTTTCTTTCCAGCACTCTTGCTCGCTTTCCCTGCCTTGCTCTCCTTCCTCGTACTGCCCTGTGGTGAGAGTCGGGACGCGTCGATGTTTGAAAAGGGACTGGAGTTGTGAGGGGGGGGAGGGGGCAAGATCTCTAACCACCGCCGACACTCGAATCTATTTTGTTATCACCTATTGCTATTTTTCTGTTCATTGTGTTTTTTTTTTTTGTTGAAAATTTTTGTTATCCCTCGTGAACCTTGGATTTCATTTTTTGAATAAAATGCAGTAATACAACCCAGCAAATCCCGAGTCGTCATTAATGCAAAACGGTGATTGCCAGTGATTGAATGAATGCTGCAGAACCGTGACTGCGATAGACTGTACCACCAGCTACGACTACACCACGCACGCACGCACGGTACGCAGCTACCTTACCTTACCTACAACTGGACCCGTCAAGGCCTAGCCGCGTCAACGGTGGTGTGGTGTGTATCAAAGTATCCAGTATCAAAATATCAAAATATCAAAAGGATCCCAGTATCCTAGTAGGAAACATGAAATGGGAAAGGGAAAGAGGTGGGTGGGCATCATACGCCCCGCTGTGTTGGTGCGCCTTTGCCCGTCTCGGACTCGGACCGCGGCCACGGTGACAGGTGCGGTATGACGAGTATGAGAAATGGGTGAGGGGGATGGGTGCACGGACATTGACGGTGATGATGGATGATGGATGATGGATGATTCATCGACGTTCGATGAAGAAGGCGGACGCTCAACGGGTCCCTTCTCTAATCACGAGAGTGGCAATCGGGGTGCCGCAAAACAGGGACTCGACACTCGACACTCGACACTCGAAACGGACCTGTCAACTTGTTTTGCGGGACTGTTTCAACCCGTGTGGGGAAACTCGAGATTGGCAGTGGCAACAGACATGTGGGGACGTTCGGTGAGACGGTGAGACAGACGACACGACGGTGGGGCTCGCGCCACTCTATCACTCGACCCCAAGGCGGCAGGATAGATGAGCCTGCGTACATAGTGCCACAACTGATTCGTAACAAAGTTAGATAGCTTTCTGTCCGTGTCCGTGCTGCATGATCAGCACGGGGCCGGGAGGAATAAGCATCAGCCCCGTGGGTAGCTTTGGGAAAATGCGCGCACGTACTACTGCGCACATTGAACCCAATGTCGTACAATGTCGGCCTATGTGGGATAAAATGCCGCAGGCCTAAGAATAAAAAGAAGAAAGCGGAGAAGCGGGGTATGGCATGAGAGAACATGTCCAAGTTCTGAACAATCCAACATACAAAATTGAATATTCCCCTTGTTCCGCATTCGACACTTATTTCCAGACGAGACCTTCGACATCTTTTTCTTCTTCCGATCGTGTCTGTTGCAATCAACGATCTGAAATAGATATGACAGTAAGATATCAGATAAGTTTTCGAGATCGTGGACTGAAAAAGGTATGTTTGATATGCGAGGTACTGTAGAGCGCCTCTCTCCCGTCGTCAGCGGATCATGCACTTGCTATTTATGCCACCACCGTCTACTTATGCGTCGTGTGCGACGACGACGGTCCTTCTCCGTCACTTCTGTCCAAGCGTTTTTTTTTGGTTTCTGATACCAGTCGTTCACACCACATGATGGCGGCCCCGTCTGAATCTTTCATCCGCTCCAAAAAGGCAGATCAAAGTTATGAAAAAAGAAAAAGAAAAAAAAAGTCCCTCTCCCCATAAATCACCCTGTAGCTTTTTTGCTGTCCACTCTATAGCTTCTTTATCCGAGTCGGACCCACGTGGAGTCCTTTGCCGCCGTAGTAGCAGACGTGTCAACGTTTCTGCGTCTGCATGTTTTTCTGAGGGTGTCTCTGATGCTGCGCGTCCATGGAGACTGTACCGTTCCCTCAAAGCTGACGGAATAACTGGGCTAACCCCGTGCGAGTGATTGGCTTGTATTTCCTTGTTTAGGCAGGCCTAGGAAGTTCTTCAAGTTGGGCGTAACGGTTGTGCCTTTTCAGAATCCAGAGCTTGCAATGCAGGGGTCGATGAACGGTGATTAATATTCTAATAAGTCTGAAAGAAGTCTAATAAGCCGTCTATGCCTTGAGCAGTTCTTGGTGCGGCGCCATCTGTTACCGTAGCCCTTGACGACGAGCAACGAACATTAAGTTTACGAGGGAGGTTGACGTTGTAGGAACAAAGCAGGTGCCTTTCATGTCCATGATGTCGAGAAGCCATGATGTCGGTATGACCATATAGCGCTTTATCTGATATGAAGAATGGCGGGGAAGTGCGTAAATTCACTTTGCTTTGATGGCGGCGGTGGAGGTAGACCTGGCTAAAAGCCATATTGGCTCTCGCCGTGGCTAGAACCTTACGGTGGACGCTCGTTTCGCACTGTCGGATCTCTGGGAGCTGACGGACAAACAGGGCAATGTCCGGGCGCGCGCACGACTTCTTGGATGGCTGCTGGGGCGCCATTAATTAATGCAATGAAAGGGAATGGAAGGACGAGTATCCAGCGAATGGGTTGCGATGATCAGTGTTTTCGAGATCTTGACAACACGATTCTGCCAAGAGAAATGCTCAAAATGAGCCATAAGCACTCCGACATAAGTGGAAGAAAGAAAATGTCAACCTAGAACCTTGACTTTGTCGGATTTGGAGATCGGCGGCGACGTGTTGGAAGGTTGAAACGCAGAAGAGAGCTTACGAAATATGAAGGACATGTGCTGGGGGGCTTGATAGCACAGAGTGGTTCCTACATTTTCAATGCCCAACGCGATAGGTTTGTAGGGCATGTCATAAGCGTAGTAGCCCAACGGACATCACGATGCATCAACTAGGATGGGAGACATTGTATGTACGCAAGTCGAACATGATAACGCGTTTCTTGCAGCGGAATCGCAATGCAAGATAACTTGGGGAATACATGAAGTAAAACATACGCTGCGTCCGTTCAAGTCATCGTCAAATTCGCGTCCAAGGTGTCGATTCAGTAATTCCCCTTATTCGAGACTTTCAAGAACAATGGCGACAGCCAGTAGAGAGAATGATAGTGACAACCAACCGATACAGGCTCATCTTAACTTGCACTCGAGATGACCGTCGTTGCGAGACCTTAAGAGACCAAGTGTGCATAAAATGCAGAAGACTCAGGAGTGATTCGAACGGTCGACTCGGAGGCTACTCTCGCCGTCGGAACATTTGTCGCGATAACCGGAAAAGGAAATCAACATTTGGTAGATGTGATCGGATCCATCGAGCTCGATTTCCAGCTGAAGTGTTACTTACATCTGAATCCACAGGATAGAAAACATAACACACGTTGACCACACATTGAGCAGAAACATGAGCCACGACTTTCCACCCTTGAAGAACGACCTCCTTCTGCGCGCTGCCCGCGGCGAGCAAACCGAGCGCGCACCTGTATGGGTCATGCGTCAGGCAGGAAGGTATCTTCCCGGTATGTCTCGTTCATACCTCTGCAAGCTCGCATCGCCCCTTCCCAGCTGACCATACTATCCCTGCGGACAGAATTCAGAAAACTGCGTCTGTCCCACGAATTCTTCGACATCTGCCGCACCCCGCACCTCGCGACAGAAATCACCGTACAGCCCATCCGCCGCTATACAGGTCTCGTCGACGCAGCGATCATCTTCTCAGACATCCTCGTCGTCCCCCAAGCCATGGGCATGGAAGTCCTCATGAACCCAGGGCCCGTCTTCACAGATCCCCTCTCTACACCCGCCGATATCTCCAAGCTCAACCACCCCGTCGACGTGGATAAGGAGCTGGGCTATGTCTTCGAAGCCATCACGCAGACGCGCAGGGCGCTCGATGGGGAGGTGCCGCTTATAGGGTTCTGTGGAGCCCCCTGGACGCTCTTTGCGTACATGATCGAAGGCGGATCGAGCAAAACGCTGCAGAAAGCCAAGACTTGGCTGTTCAAGTACCCGGAAGAGTCACAGGCGCTGCTCATGCGCATCGCCGATATCTGTGTAGACTTTTTAGTCGGTCAAGTAAAGGCCGGAGCACAGGTACAATCCTTCCCATTCGACTTGCTTGATTTTTTTTGAGCTCAAGAACAACTTTTTACTCAACGTATAACAGCTCCTCCAAGTCTTCGACTCAAACGCAGGCGATCTCTCCCCTCACGATTTCACCACCTTCTCGCTCCCCGGTCTTCAACACATCGTCAATCGCGTCCGCGCCCGTCTCGCCGACTCGTCCCTTCCCATCGTCCCCATAACCCTTTTCGCCAAGGGTGCCTCGCCCGCACTGGCAGCCCGTGCAGGATACGACACTGTCGGACTCGACTGGACTCAGGACCCACGCGATGTCGTTGCCTCAGGTGTCACCGCTGCGCTGCAGGGAAACCTTGATCCAGCCGTGCTTTACGGCGGTCAGGAGGCGATCGAACGTGAGGTGAAGAGGATGTGTAGTGCGTTCCGCACAGCGCGAGGCGGTTCCACGAGGGCCTGGATCGCTAATCTAGGTCATGGTATCACCCCGGGTGTCGACCCAGAGGACCTGCGATTCTTCTTCGAATGTGTGCACAAGTACTCGGCGGAGGGAGCGGCGCCATAGGTCCTGCGATGCCTTGCAGAATTGCTTAAATGTAGAAGCATACGCAAAACTGTAGTATCACGCCTGACTACACATTCCGAGTATAGTGTTATAAGTATAGTACACCAAAAGCAGAACTGATAGCTATGGACAAGATTGCAATGTAAAAAGATATATGATTGAGTGTATGGATGCACTGATTGATGATAGAGACTCCAAGGATACAGTTCCCAGACGTGACCCGAGACTTGAGAGGGAGCGAGAGATGAGAAAAACCGAACCAACAAAGTGTATCACAAGAGAAAATTACTAGACCTTCCCTATTAAAAAGAAACTGTCAAAAATAGATGAATATGGTCGAGATTGTAACTTGACATGTTCGCAGAAAATGAGAACAGAAAAAAGTCAAGAAATGGTACGCATGCGGATTTCCACGCTGGAACGAGAAAAAAAAATAGTGATGAGAAAGATCAATCCATGGGACTTGGAATCAATAAGTGAACCTAAATCGAACTTCAAACCGCGCGGTGAAAGTAGCTATCACACGTCATGCAATGACATCCGCTGCACTGAAACTGCTTCTCCTCCTCCTTACAGGACGTGGCCCCGGACGTTCAGTCGACTTCGAAGACGGCACGACGACTGCCGATGCACCACTCGTCATCCACGCATTTGATGAAGTCTTGGTCGGCCGCATAGTGGCACCAGCAGCGACTTCGCTCAGCGAGTTCGAGGCATTATGCGCCTTTTTCGGAGGGATGAGGGTAGGCAGTCGCGATGGCGTGGGTGATGGCGGGGGCTGCTGAGGCACCCGTCTCGCAGAAGGTGCACCTGGCCCTTTAGCTGCTGAAGCCGCCGTACCTCTCGAAACCGCACCTGCAGCCAGGCGGGGTATTTTATTTGGAGGTGCAGATGACTTGATCCCACCTGCAGTCGCCCCCGCTGGTCTGCGTGTATTTGCTCCTGCTGCTGACCGCAAAACTCGGGTTGGCCTCTGTTCCGAAGCCGTGCCCCTCGCGCCCGTATGACGGGCGATGGTCTTCGCACGTGGTCTGGCGGGAGGCGCAACACCCAACGCAGGTAGTGCATCGTCCGCCTCGTCGGCATCTTCTTCATCCGAATCCACCGCAACACGTTTAGCAACAGGGGTCTTACGTGGCTGCCCCGGTGGGGCGATGGAATGTGCCTTCGCAGCGGCGGTTGCGACATGTCGACTTGGCGTCACAGGTGGGAGTGGTAGGGCGGCAGAAACAGCAGCGACAGTGGACGGAGCCGTAGGAGTGGTTTGTACATTGTCTTCCATCTCCTCATCCGCTTCCGCAGGAGGCGTTGCGGGCGTAACGAGAGGGGCAGCGGTAACAGCTGCCTGTGCCTGAGCACGTCGTATCTCGTCAACTGCAGCCCACTTGGACCATTCCAGCTGCTTGAGATACATATACTGTTGCTGAGGACCTACGACACTTCCAGGACGGACGATACGCATGAATGCAATTGCTTCACTAGCTGTAAAGCCGTATTTCCATATCAGGTATGCACCAATGAGGGTACCGGTTCGTCCTAAACCGGCTTTGCACTGTTAGGCAGTTAGATCAGTTCCCGGGATAATAATTTAGTGCTGGTAGATATTGTGGAACATACGTGCACAGCAACTACGCCCCCACCATCTATTATTCGATCCGCTACATCAATGAACGTACGCACAATTTCGTCTGTGGGGTTCGTGCCATCGTCGAAATAGAGCTCCATATGATCTATCCCATGATCTAAAAACACCTGCCTGTCGTACAGATGGGTATTGAGGCGAACGACCATCTTGATATTTCGTTTCTCGAAATAGTCCAAACAGTTGAGAAAGGGTGTGGGTAACTTACGCTGCAGGGCAAGGCCATTCGATGATGGCGGTGGAGAAGGGTGTGTGGGAGATGGGGAGCCGCTTATTGATTGCCTTGCTTCCTTTTCTTTCTTTAACCACGTTGAGTCGACAGGAGAGGCAAAGGCGATGAAGTTTGGCGTTATCCAGTTCCAATCACCGTTCTCGACCTTCTCATAATATTCATAGTCCTCCACGCTGAACTCATTCATATCGCAAAGCCCGTTTTGCATTGCCTTCCATAGCCCCCATAGGCAATCTTGAATGTTGAGATTAAAATCGGAGGGCCCACGACCTGCGTCTCTGAAGGGCATGAACTCTACTTCCGCAATTGGATGGAAAGCCTCCCATGGTGCGCGGCGTTGCACGATCATCTACGTGATAATAAGTCACTGTGAAACTGTGATATACAGGAAGACATCCTACCACGTAAAGAGCCATCAAAAGCGCAGCGTTTGCTTTTCTTCTGGGATCATCAGAAGAGTATAGAACCAGTCTATGAGATGCAAGATCTTTATCCTTGATTGCCGCGGGTCTCTTCAGTCACATCACACCGCGCGTTATCAGGCCACTCACCTCTAGGAGCTCGTGTATCAGTATGCAAGCTTTGTATACCATTGCAAGATTGAGTGGGCCCCAGTCCTGAAAGAAGGACAGATAAAGTAGCTGGTCGTCGACGGTGAAATAGAAGTAGGTGGCATCATCATCGGGAGATGCAGATGGACCACCTCTTGGTCGGGCGCGCACACGAGGGGCATTTCCAGGCGTAGTTGCAAGTTGATTGAGGATATGCGGGCTGGGTGTAGGGTGCGGGAAAGTAGTGAAGTAAAGCCTGGATTGATGTCTGGTGAATGGCTCAAGAAATACGAGAAAGCAAGCGATTCAAACCTGTCCCCAAAGTGACATAGCGGCTCACACCTTGGAGCCATGACAACAGCTGTTGGAAAGATCCACAGAGGAGGTGGTGGTGGTACGAAAGAAAGAAAATTGCAGCGAGAACAGCACTGAGGACGGCGTCAAGAATGGCAGCAGGCTGAAAGGCCTTGGAAGGTGTAGCAAGCGTTTCGTGCGCGAAGTTGATTTACAAAAGGAAAACCACCCGCGTGACCGTCGCGTTGAGGGAAACATGCACAAACAAGGTATATGTGGCTCAACTACACTCAGGGGCGTCGGTGTTAAGTTCGCTAACTGCAACGTTTATTGTCTACGGTAACCTACTAGGAACATTCAACCTTCAATAACACACACACAAACACAATATACAGCGTATAAGGCAAAAATGGTCTAATTCGAAGGGATACTGCAGGAAGACGCGTGTTTTTGGGAGGCGGGGCGTGCATCGATTGATCGAATGTTCATCATGGCATGAGGCAAGAAGTGCATGGTGGGACCAGTGGGCAATCTTCGAAAATGGTGATATGAGAGCATGCGGGATCAGCTTTGCGTGAAGCAATGGCGATATAGGGCACGCGGTTGTGACCATCAGGGATATGCTGCATTGTTCTGCAGAATGCACACGACACCCTCCAGACTCGAGGACGAGCCTTGGGACAAGGGTCTGGGACAGGGATAAGCTCTGATCAGTTTGATGCGACTTTCGGTCCCATGTCGTCAGTTTTAAGCAAGAGGAGAATATCTGATTTTGTGGGGCTTATCTTCGCGATATCTGCAGTCTTTTTGGCAGACGTGACCCTATATAGGTAGCATTCATAAGGCTCGGATAAGAGAAATATGCGAGACATTCACAGTACCAGGGCAGAGAAGTACATCCCAGTCCTAGTTCTGAAACGAATGCTTCCAAGTGTCACATTTACCTCATCAAACCTTGACATTCCTAGTAGCTTCGTAACGCCTTCCACACAGGACAGAAGCCTGTAAGGCCAAAGTGAAGGCGCTCTACAGTTTCATCCGGTCCACTGAGTCCAAAATGCGGTTCGTCCGTCCTCATTAAGAAATGGGCCAAATCAGTTCGATTCGGAAATAGCCCCGGGTCTTGTCCGTATGTTCCGCAAGGCCGCAGAACAAAGGAGCGCGATGCAAAGAAGAGACCACAGCAAGATCTGGTGTATGGAGTCCCGAGTTTTGTAAGGCTTGTAGGGTAGGTCACTGCAGATTTGGATGAGCTCGTCGTGGCCGTCGTCGTAGTTGAGCACAACGAAGTCAAACAAATTACGGGCGAGAGGCACCACATTGTTGTTTGTGTTTGTTGGAGCACGCGTCTCCTGTACACGGGACTCAATACGCTCCCGCCAACTCCAAAAGGGCCCAAACGTTACCTTACCCACCGCCAGAACATAAAGACCATCTGGCTATACTGGTACACCTAATTCAAGCACTATATTCGCGTTATATCTCGTAAATCATGCCTGAAAGCCAGATATTCAAGGTATAACCCATAACCTCCTTGTTCTGTCCTCCAGCTCACTATATATTTTTTGATATCTTTACTCATAGGCAACCTACAGTGGGATTCCCGTGTATGAGATGTTAGTATCCCTATGCGCGACTTGTGACGTTTTCTTACCCTTTTACACGCTAGGATGTGCAAAGGCGTGGCTGTCATGCGGCGACGCTCAGACTCGTGGTTGAACGCGACACAGATCCTCAAGGTTGCGGGTTTTGACAAACCCCAGCGTACCCGTGTTCTCGAACGTGAGGTGCAGAAAGGCGAGCACGAAAAGGTGCAGGGCGGGTATGGCAAGTACCAAGGTATGTCCACGAGTCTTTCTCGTGGGTATACTTATGACGTTATCGTAATCTTGAAAGGTACATGGATACCCCTTGACCGAGGACTCAATCTTGCAAAGCAATATAATTGCGATAATATCCTGCGGCCTATCATTGAATTTCAGCCGGCGGCGAAGAGTCCACCACTGGCACCCAAACATCTAGTTGCCACCACCGTCGCCCGTCCAGCGCGCCGCGCAGTGGTACCAGAACCATCGATTATCAGTACACGTTCGCGACGTCACGTTCCTGACGTCGTGGAAGAAGAGTCCGAAGTCGAGTCGGTCTCTGTACGTGGATCAGAAGATGGGTCCATGACATCTTCACCATCGCGTGGCTCGTCAAGCTCGCGCACACCCTCACCCATCGCGGACCCTTCACCTCACGAGTCGCAAGAAGTTGACGAAGACCTTGCATCCTCAGCACATGTTTCTACACGTAGAAAACAGGTTAGGCGCGCTGCGGATGATCGGTATGACGACGCATCGGACGGAGAACCATCTTCAAAGCCAAACGGCGTTGTGGATACGCGCGCGTACAGTGACCAAATCCTCGAATACTTTATTTCAGATACGAATCAAGTGCCACAGGTTCTCATTGTACCACCCCCTGACTTTGACCCCAACATGGCTATCGACGATGACGGGCACACAGCGCTGCACTGGGCATGCGCAATGGGCCGTCTTCGTATTGTTAAGCTGCTCATCACAGCAGGAGCAGATATCTTCAAAGTGAACAAGGCTGGCCAGACCGCTCTTATGCGGAGTGTCATGTTCGCAAATAACTATGACGTGCGCAAGTTCCCAGAGTTATACGAGCTATTGCACCGTTCTACACTCAATATCGATAATTATAACCGTACCGTTTTCCACCATATCGTGGATGTCGCTATGTCAAAGGGCAAAACTCACGCGGCGCGGTATTATATGGAGACTGTGCTTACCCGACTTGCAGATTATCCGAAAGAATTGGCAGACGTGATCAACTTCCAGGACGAGGATGGCGAAACGGCTCTCACGATGGCCGCAAGGTGTCGAAGTAAACGACTGGTCAAAATTCTGATTGACCATGGTGCAGATCCCAAAATTGTCAACAATGATGGTAAAAGTACGGAAGACTACATACTCGAGGACGAGCGCTTCCGTTCGTCTCCCGTTCCATCTTCGCGTCTCGCGGCAATGTCTTTCCGTAATGCTCATGCAGCTTTTCCTACGTCACAACCCCTCCCTAATTACGCGTTTGCACCAGCCAATGGCGATCGGCCACCGCTCCATTACTCAGTTGCCGGCCAGAAGGCGAGCACGAGGTGTGTCAATGACATGGCGAGTATGCTGGACACCCTTGCTGCTTCCTTTGATCAAGAGCTTAAAGACAAGGAACGCGATATGACTCAGGCTAACGCGCTTTTACAAAACATCCAACACGAAATATTGGAAAGTCAGCGGGCGGTATCTCATCTTAAAACACAGGCCGAGGGCCTTCAGCAGGCAAAGCAGACGTTAAGCGAGCTGGAAAACGAGCTGTTGGGAAAGATGGGACGAAGGCACCGATTAGGCTGGGAGAAATGGGTTAAGGATGAGGAGAACCGGGAAAAGTCAATACGTGATGCGGCAAACGGAGAACTGGCCATTACACCTGCGACCGTGCCCTATAGGACGGATGATGATATAGAAATCGAGGATGAGCAAGACCAGGAGAAAAACAAGGGCAAGCGGAAAGTCCTGCCTCAAGAAGAGGACATCACGGACCTATTGGAACTATTCGCCAGTGTAACCACGGATCCAGAACAGTTACGAACTGCATGCGAGGCGTTGAGGGAAGAACTCACGCAACATAGGAAGCGGAGAAAGGCAACGTTCGACGGACTCGTATCTTTCCAGGCAGAAGCTGGTACGAATGGACGGATGGGAGAATACCGCAGATTAATAGGAGCGGGATGTGGCGGGGTGCCTCCTTCAGAGGTGGACCACGTTCTCGGAATGTTACTCGAGGTAAGGTCTGTGCTTATCTTGAGATGACTTGGCTTATACCATGGGTGCACTGCAGACGCTTGAATCTGAAGAGCCAAGTTCGACTTCGACTGCTTGGACTGGGGTGAAACCGGCTGCAGTTTCTGTGGGATAGTGTACAGTGATATCTTTTTCGGGCAAAGCTGTGTTATCCTTTTCAGAATATTAAAATACTGTACTTCTACGTAGAACATGTAATACTCCGCTTGGGGACCGAACACTGTAGTTGTCAAATTTCGTACATATTCTTGCCATGCAGCGGCGAGCTGAACCGTGTGCGAAGCCAAACCACTTGCTTACCTCAGCCACCATTTTCAGTCTGACCTTCGTTGCCGCGTTCTTGCGGTTTTCCGTGTTCATTATTCTGCGCGGCTTGGAAGGACAACGGAAAACAACATGTCTTTAACGCGTTTGCAACTGCTGAAGTCGACGACGACATTACCATGGACCAAGGACTTTCGACATCTAAAGCCTGTTCCAAAGTATTGGCAAGAACGGCATTCTTTCTTTGACCCCAGACTCAAGGTCGTCCCTGTCAAAGACAGAATCAAGTATTGGAATGTTGTCCCAGGAGATCAAATTCGTATACGAGGGGACCCAAGGGAAACTCTTCACGAGGTGCTCAGTATCAATAGATTCAGCAATCGTGTGTACTTGAAAGGGTCTGTGATCGTACGTGTCTGGATTTCCTTGGTCTTGGGCATACTCTACCCGAAAAGTACTAACAACGCTTGAATTTATTACTCTAGGATGGAAACCAGCGCAAGATGGCGGTGAATAAGAGTGTACACTACTCTCGGTGTCAACTATACATTGGCAATTTCGAATTTCCGTCAAAAAAAGATCCTAATGGGCCAACTTTGCTGTTACCGTGAGTTCTGCGATCTCAAATATTTCCATCCAACTCAACGTTTGCTTGTAGCGTATTCGCACGCCGTGTAGGGGTAAGGAAGCCTCATTGGCAACCTACAGGTCATCGTTATGAATGGAACCGGATTGCCGTTGCAACTGAACCACGGGTAAAGGTAGACGATGAAGATATGGTTATACCTTGGCCTGTACCTGAACCTCGCAAACTACCAGACGGTATGTATATCTCACACCTTCCCTATAGTCAAATGAGAACTTATCATATTAACAGCTAACCCAACCTACGATACTTCCCTGGCAGCGGTTGAAGAAATCACGTATCAGCCGCCCAAATTACCGTCAAAACCTGGTCAGTTCACACCGAAACCTGCCTCTGAGGATGAGTACATCAAGACACTGTTTCACCCACGGCCTATGCATTTTGACGAATCGAACCCAATGGAAGTCCATCTTGCCAAAGAACTGAGTAATCCCCATGGACGTGCAAAGAAACAAAAACGATGGCAAGCTGCTCAGGCGAGCAAGGTTGAGTTATTGAAACGGTTTATTGCGAAAGAGATAGGGGATTTGAGAGGACGATCTGTACGCGAGGCCAAGGCTGAAGCTGCATGGAAGTACCGCCAGAAGCTGGAGGATGATAGGAAGGCTGAGAAGAAGAGGAGATGGCTCACGAAGGAGCGTCTAGCTAGTATGGAGAGGAAGAGGAAACGAAAGGACAAGAAAGAGGCGAGACATAACGAAAAGCTGAACCAGCTCGTTTTGCGCGAGGAGCCGAACCAAATTATTCCTGGACGATCAAAAGAGCGGTAGATTTGGTAGCTGCCCCTAGCTGTGCAACTGGATGCCGATATCTTTACTGACTATGATACGTACGAGATAGACCAGATTATGGTAATTTTATGTTCACTGCACACACATCTGGCATTCAGATTAGTTATTGTTGGATATTATTGATGTCTCCCGACGCCAGTGTTGCTGATTTGAGTAAGTGTGTTATCTTACGGCAATACCCGGTATCTCGTCTGTTCCGAGTTTGGTTGGCTTGCGTGCATTCGTCGAGATTAGCACTGCTTACTACCGTGAGGACCCTTTTTACACCCTGGCGATAGCTTACTTCAACGTGGGCGATAATTCAACGCAGGTATGGTTCTTCCCACCAACTGAAGTCTCGTTGGTTCGGGCCCCTTATGTCCTACAAGCTTCCAGCATCGTCGATATCAGAGATTGAAGCACCATACCAACTCGTTTCCCAGTTGCCAGATAATCATGGTCAGCTCATCGGAGGCGATATAATCATCAACGACGGCGCTGGTGCACTGGTGTCAGACTCTATGACGGATCCACGAATACACTGGGTCTATTTCATGCTTGGCTGTGGTGGTCTAGTGCCATGGAATGGTGCGTACACAGTCGATTCAACCACTCTCACTCTACAGCTAACATGAACTTGAATAACATAGCTATGATCAGTGCTACACCTTTCTTTCTTACCAGGATGACTGGATCTCCTCTTCAATCGAGCTTTAGTTCATATCTATCTATGACATTTACCGGTGCCCAATTTATTTTCTTGATCCATGCGACTGCTACTGTAAAACAGGTCAGACATTTGGCTTTTGTAGACCACTACAACCCATTCTGACGGTTCCTTTTAGTCTCCCCCCTCATGGCGAGCCTCTCGTACGATGAACATTCTCGCCGTTTTGGTCTCTCTCCTCGTGCTCAGCACTTTCATACGCATCCCTCCCGGATGGTTTTTCACATTCGTCATTCTCAATGGTATATGTCAAGCGGCAGCATCAGTCTACATGTCCTCTGCTTTTTACGCAGGAGCCTCTCTCTTTGGTCCATCGTATTTGCAAGCAGTTATGACAGGTCAAGCTGCGGTTGCGGTGGTTATGAGTAGTGTCCAGGTCATGACCTCCCTCACGTCCGTTTTCGGAGAGGCGCCAAAAAGCATCGACACGGCCGGAAATGGTGCAGCAGAGGAAAGATCTGCATCCATATTCCTGTCGATTTCTCTGCTATTTCTCGTGGCAACTGCCATGGCTCATTCGTGGATGATCACTCTTCCAGAATACAAGGCCAAAGTTGGCGTGTTAGAGCATAAGAGGTTTCCCATCACCTCTGATAGTGATTCAGACGAACTTGAAATGCTCGTATCTCATGGACCGATTACGACTTCAGCCGATAATAACGCGCAGGTATTCCGCGTATTCAATGCTACTTTTATTTATCAGTTTACCGCTTTTTATGTCTTTGTTGTCACATTGGTTAGTGATTCACTTGCACACAGCAATATATACTTAACGAAGATCTATTATCATGTAGGCTGTATTCCCACCTATCACGATCTCCATCGGACCCTCCAATCCGAGGATACACCCATTACTGTTCAGTTCCTTCCATTTCCTCATCTTCAATATCGGGGACTTCGTGGGACGATATGTATGCTCCTTCCCTCGCCTGATAATCTGGTCTGCTCGTCAGCAAGTAGTATTGGCTGCACTACGGACGTTATTCATTCCTTTGTTCCTCATCTGCAATGTCCAACGACCGTCTTCGACGAATATCATTACGCCGGTTATCACTTCGGACATTTTGTACATGTTCATTCTGTACATGTTTGGCATGACGAATGGCTACGTCTCCAGTGTCTCCGTGATGGCCGCTTCGTCGTTGGACCGAAGCCCAAGGTTAAAGGGACGAGATGACGTCGATGTTGCGGCTACAGTGGCCAATTTCTGTATTACAGCAGGTTTGGCGGTTGGGAGCGTGGCGAGCTTTGCAGTAAGGGCTGCGGTTTGCGACTGTAACCCCTTTACAGAATGAGGGTGTAACAATATGTGGACGGTTGTATCGAGCGGTTGTTTCCTGTAACATAACATAATACTGAAAGGATAAAGCGCATTATATAGGAAAGTGGTGTGGTTATCTTCGTTGGTGAGGAGTTGCTGTATAAGCCACAGCAATGACCGACTCAGCCTCGGAGGCCACTTGAATGACCGTGAACAGACTCGGGTACTCTTACGGCTATATCCGGTGCATATCTTGTGCTGGTCCGGGTCCGAGTTTAGTCGGCTCGGTCCTTTCACACTGCCAACCTGGGGACCCTTTGACACAAGGCTTGCTACTTCAAGAGTATATACCAGGCGATAACGAAACACAAGCTCAAGTTTGGTTCTCACCCGCCAGCATCGCTTGTTTAGATCAATCATGTCCCACAGGCGTCCAGCATCGTCGATATCAGAGTTTGAAGCACCATACCAACCTGTTTCCCAATTGCCAGATAACCATGATCAGCTCACTGTCGACGATACCAGCGTCGGAGACGATGTTAATACGCTAGTCTCATCGTCTGCGATGGATCCGAGAATACGCTGGGTCTATTTCATGCTTGGCGCTGCTGGTTTATTGCCATGGAATGGTGCGCACGTTGTTGATATATTCACCCTATAGCTGACATGAATAGGATCATTGTAGCAATGATGAACGCCACGCCTTTCTTTATTACCAGGCTGGCTGGATCTCCCCTACAGCAAAGCTTTACTTCATATCTGTCTATGACGTTTACCGCTACTCAATTAATGTCCCTGGCACGTGCAACTGCTACTGTCAAACAGGTCAGACGGTCGTCTTTCGCAGATTAGTATAACTCATTCTGGCTCCACCTCTTAGTCTTCTCCTTCGTGGAGAGCCTCTCGCGCGATGAGTATCCTCGCAGTCTTGGTTTCTCTCCTCGTGCTCAGCACTTTCATACACATACCTCCCGGATGGTTTTTCACTTTTGTCATCCTCAATGGCATTTGTCAAGCAGGATCAGTGGTCTACCTGTCCTCCGCTTTCTACGCAGGAGCCTCTCTTTTTGGTCCAGCATGTTTACAAGCGGTCATGACAGGTCAAGCTGCGGTCGCAGTGGTGGTGAGTAGTGTTCAGGTCATGAGTTCCATTGCATCCGTTTGGGGAGAGGGGCCAGAAAATGTTAATATGGCCGAGTATGGCGCAGCGGAGGAAAGATCTGCATCAATATTCCTGTCCATATCTGCACTATTTCTCGTCGCAACTATCATGGCCCATTCATGGATGACGACTCTTCCGGCATACAAGGCCAAAGTTGGTGTTCTAGAGCAGCACAAACGGTCCCCTATCACCTCTGATAGTGATTCAGACGAACTTCAAGGACTTGTAGTATCTCCTGGGCCGATTATGGCATCAACCGACAGCAACGCTCAGGTGTTACGTGTATTCAAGGCCAATTTCATTTATCAATTTACAGTTTTCTATGTCTTTGTCGTTACACTGGTTAGTGCTCAACGTACTAAAAAGTTATTTCTGACGAAAAAAAACACTCATGTAGGCTGTATTTCCACCTATAACAATCTCCATTGGAGCCACCAATCCGAAAATACACCCGTTGCTGTTCACTGCCTTCCATTTCCTTATCTTCAATATTGGAGATTTCGCGGGACGATACATATGCTCTTTCCCTCGCCTGATAATCTGGTCTGCTCGGCGGCAAGTAACCTTGGCAGCACTGCGGACATTGTTTATTCCACTTTTCCTTATGTGCAACGTCCAGGGACAGTCTTCAACGAATGTCATTACACCGATTATCACGTCAGACATTCTGTACATGCTCATTCTATGCATGTTTGGCGTGACGAATGGATATGTCTCCAGTATCTCCATGATAGCTGCTCCGTCGTTGGAACACAATCCAAGATTAAAGGGACGAGAGGACGTCGATGTTGCCGCTACAGTGGCTAATTTCTGTCTCACAGCTGGCCTGGCGGTTGGAAGCGTGGCGAGCTTTGCAGTAAGGGCTGCAATCTGCGACTGTAACCCCTTTACGAAATGAGGGTGTAACAATGCATTTGTATAGCATCTGGGTAATAGGTCGACGGTAGTATATTCAACGGGTTTTCCTGTAACATAACATAGTATCGATAGCACTGCGAATAGAGCATATTAGATAGAGAATTGGCGAGGTCATGATTATTTCCATGATCGGTGTGAAAGTCAGGATCACTATCATGATATTCCTCGAGGAATGCCTGGCAGTCGGGGAGCTAGGTCTTTTGCTTGAGCAGCCTGTCTGCGTTTCCTATGCTCAGACACGCGTAGTGCATATATATCGCGGTGGAGGATGTATCGTTCGTGCGTTGGCTTGGGAGATGCTGAACTGCCAGGTGTCCACGAACCAGGTGGTTGCTTGTCTGGTTCAGAGTCCTTACTCTCAGTTTCTTCAGAATTCTTATTTGTTTCGTCTTTCTTTTCGTCTTTCTTGTCCTTATCCTTATCCTTCTCAACCTTTTCCTTTTCCTTTGCAGCCTTCTCCTTCTCCTTTTCCTTCTTCCTCTTCTGTCTCTCCTCCCATTCTTCCTTGACTTTTGCTATCTCCTCCGGACTTAATCCTGTCTTCTTAGTCTCATTCTCGTCAACGACACGGTCGGCAAATCCACGGTCTACAAGATGATTCGTGCAAGTGTACAGAAAGTCTGTGGTGTCGACGGTGGCAAGAACGGTCGTAGTTGGCTTGTAGCATATGTAGCAGGCTTTACCAGTTGCTGTAGTCTGAGAATGGGTTCCAGTACGCAATACACGGTTAAAATGAGGAAATCAGAAAAGACACACTCGTTTGTAGTAGAGATTTGGAAAAGACATGGTGTATTTTTTCTGGAATAGTTATCGCCAATGAAACTTGTTATCGTAGTCGAGTGGGATGCACTCACTTGCAAGTCAATAAATTTGGCTTTATCTATCTCGTCTTCAAGTTCTTCCACGCCCCCACTAGTGCTTATAAGCGAAAAAGGCCGAGGGATTGGGTTTTATCAGAGGTTGATCTTTCTCGCAGGCTTATAGAGAATCGATGGTTCCAGTTGTGTTTTTAGACAAGTCACATTATCAAACATTAATATTCCGGTCCGTATAAAAGAGACCAAGGCGTAAGGCGGCACACACTTTACCCTTTCTCCCTCCCTCTCACATTTATCATGTCTAGCACAGCAGGGAAGACTATAACATGCAAAGCCGCTGTATGCTGGGGCGCAGGCGAACCTCTCAAAATCGAAGAGGTCGAAGTCGCGCCGCCTCAAGCACACGAAGTCCGGATTCATATCTTGCATACCGGTTAGATATGTCGTTATCTCATTCCCTTTATCTACTAAGGCGCCTATCGTAGGGATATGCCACACTGATGAATATACTCGTAGTGGCAAAGATCCTGAGGTATGTTGTGACGTCGCCGTGAATATTCAAGTTCGCCACCTCAGCGTGGTGTCCTTTATAGGGCTTGTTCCCTGTTATTCTTGGACACGAAGGTGGTGGAATAGTGAGTGGTTATTAGCCCCCAGCGATGAATGCTTATTCATATACCGCCAAGGTTGAGTCTGTGGGTGAAGGTGTCACAAATGTCGCACCAGTAAGTGGCTACTAGCATTCGGTTTTCAAGTGCCAGTAGTAATCAATAATCGATCGTACATGTAGGGCGACCATGTCGTTCCATTATACACGGCTGGTGCGCCTTGCTTTCTGATCTTTCGGTCCCTCCCTCTAACTTGTACCCAGAATGTCGTGAATGTAAATTCTGCAAAAGTGGAAAGACCAATCTGTGTGGCAAAGGTTAGTGCTAGCACTGCTTTGAGAGACCCACCATGCTGACATTTTCTTTAGTGAGGACTACACAGGGCCAAGGCCTCATGCCAGATAGTACAAGCCGTTTTACATGCAAGGGCCAAAAGATCCACCACTTCGTGAGTCCTATCCTATCATATACATGGTATGTAATGCATCGGCCTCACACCGAACTGCTCGAAGATGGGTACTTCGACGTTCTCCAAATACACAGTAGTTGCAGATGTTTCTGTAGTCGCTGTGAACAAAGCTGCCCCTCTCGAGAAAGTCTGCTTGTTAGGCTGTGGAATTACCACCGCTTGGGGCGCCGTTGTGAAACAACAAGGAATCAGTAAGTGCCTTCGAAATCGATTTATCTAACTTGATATGCAATGAACTATGTCAGAGGGCTCCAATGTCGCCGTCTTCGGTTGTGGGGCCATTGGCCTCGGCGTCATCTCCACCGCCTCGATTGTAGGCGCCACGCGTATCATCGCCGTCGACACCAATCCCAACAAAGAGGGGTGGGCAACGAAGATGGGAGCTACAGAGTTCGTGAACCCCGCGAAGCTGCCCGAGGGCAAGCGGATCCAAGATCACCTTGTCGAAATTACTGATGGAGGCTTGGACTTCACCTTTGATGCAACTGGTAATGTGAGTATAGACTGTATTGCATAACAATGTTCCCCGTCTGACAATATGTGTAACACAGGTCCATGTTATGCGCGCTGCACTCGAGGCTTGCCATAAAGGTTGGGGTGTCTCAACTGTCATTGGCGTTGCTGCCGCGGGACAAGAGATATCTACTCGTCCGTAAGTTTTCTCCTTTCTCTGTGATATATAACTAGCCATTCACCCTTACTTCAAACCAGTTTCCAATTGGTATACCTCTCTTTTGTGATTAAATATCTGGGAATCATTACTGATGTCACACTTGTAGGTAACGGGTCGAACATGGCGAGGAAGTGCGTTCGGTGGCGTGAAAGGGAGGACTGAGCTGCCAGGCCTAGTCGAAGGTAGTGCCGACGCAGGTTGCAATCATCTTCTCACTAACGCTTGGGCTTTCCTTTAGACTATTTGCAAGGTAACCTGAAGATCGATGAATATGTGACACACCACCGAAAATTCGAAGAAATCAACGAGGGATTTGATGATATGCATGTAAGTAATTTACCCTCAGATTTTGTGATGGTTTATTGATATTGGTTCAGGCCGGGGATTGTATTCGATGTGTGGTTGACATGTCTTGACTAGAGGGAAGACTTTGAACAATGATGATGTGTAAATATGTATCCATAATGGCACTGCAGATTCAAAGTTGTAATAAAAGCAATGGAACAGGTTGATACAGCAAGAAAATACTAAGATTTATACGTTGAAAGAAATAAACCAGATTTCCAAGATGATTTGATAAAATGGCAAGGATCTGTTTTGACCTCTATGTGATAAGAGCAAGAAACTACACCCCTCGCTGCGCTAGGACTCTCCCCTGCTTCGAACCTGTGATAGCACGCCACAACACAACGAGGGCGGCGTTGACTTCTTGTCTCCGTGAATGAGTTCTTCTCCAGAAAGTCCGTACAATCGCAAGCATGGCGAGGATAAACGAAATGTCCAAACATAACCGTCGAACAATGATAAGTACTGGTGATCGATTCTCGTTGTGTGCGAAGAAGGCAGCAAGTTGTCTGAAGGTTACAGCAACACGGGAGAGAGGGTGAAGGATCAGAGACCACAACCCCATATCGTCTATGTCCCATTCAAGCTCAAGATCATCATTACCGATGTTATGGGGGCTACCCCTGCGCCAAGGAGAAACAGAACCTTTTGTAGATAGAGATAGGTTGGACCTTCGGGGTTGTGTGGGCGCTGCTTCGAGAACATCCAGACGTTCGGCTATGGATGCTAAATGTATCTGTACGTTCTCTATAGCGTGTTCCAAAGTTGGACGGGAGGCAGGTCTAGTAGGGATTCCGTATTGTCGAGGCGGTGGTGGAATACTGGCTGTTGGGGGCCGGACATTGACGTGAGTGTGATGAATATTTGGTGTTGCCGTCCCACGGAAAGGTGATGGATATCTGCCTGCATAAGGGTCAGATGGAGGGTTTAAAGTAGGGGGTATTGAATTCGACAAAGGCTCTGCGAAAGCAGACTGGGTTTCAAAGCTGGGCAGAGGTTGCATGGCAGGGATGCTTCCATGCATGGGTGGGGGTGACATCAGCAGGGACCTCGCAACGGGAGTGCGGTAGCGGTGGGATGACACGGAGGACTGTGGTCGGATCGGCTGACTTTGATCGTGAGCTGCAGGAATCTCTGGCGCTTCACCTTCCGACTCGTTGCTAGACGAGTCTCCACTGCTTTCGTCGCTTGCAGTTGCATCTTGTATGTGTTGAGACGAAGGTGACAGCGGCTCCTGAGGATATTGGCCTGGGACAGAATTTCGCGACGCAGTAGATCCAGAAGAATTAGATCCTCTAGACTTGGACAGCGTATCTATATTTATTGAGTAAGTATTTATACTATATATGCATTCTTGAGGCTTACGACTGAGAACAAGGTTAGAGGGGTCGCCTCCAAATGACTCCAACTCTTGTACAAGGTCTCTAGCAACAGTTTTGTCGGAATATTTTCGCAAAACCTTTAAAGGATCTTAGAGTTGACGAGAATAGCGAACTAAAGAGCATATTCGCACCTTGAGGAGAGCATCGACATAGAGCCACTTTGCTTCGAAAGGATCTAAGTCCTTGTGCTTCGCCCACGCATCCCTGATAGCCGTGAAGCGCGGTTAACACGTGATTATGCATGAGAAGAATCAACGAGAGACCTACCATTTTGCTCGTCCAAGCATGTCCCAAATGCCAGGTCTAGGAGATTCAACATTTCCAACAGTGGCTGGATGATAAGGGAAAAGGTCAACACACTGAATGTGAATTTGTGAATGAGATAGAAAAACACCTTGTTTGTAGAGACTTAAAGAACCGTTCGTATGTGATGAGCGTTTCAGCGACGTTGGTCAAATGACAGCATACCTATACATTGTAAGCTTTTCTTCGTACCCTGTTTGTATTGCACCTGTCTTTGGTAGGCCTTGCACGATTTCTACAGCACGGTCGAACTGAGCGTCAATAAGTCCTTGGGAATCCATTGCTGGCACTCTTGTGAGGTTGCAAATGACGAGAAAATCAGAGTCTTTATTATACTTGTACAATCACAGAAAAAGCAAAGAGGCAAGGACAACGATAAGAAAAATGTATCTGAGAACAACAGTCCTGCGGATGGAATGGAGGTGAGCCGAGGTAGGCGGACGGAACGATGCACTGAGAAAAACGTGACCGTCGAAAATGTCACGATCGTATATACGCGCACATTTTTACATTGCAGTGCCGCACAAGACCAAAATTATCATTGGACACAGTATTTATCCGAGTCTGCACTGGATCAATACAGCATTTCCATCGAAAATAGAGCATTCTGATATGCAGAGCTACACAAAGGACTAGAACTATGAATATGACGCTTCTCGGACTGCACCTGTGGGTAGGCTGGTAGGGCAGGTCTATGAAGGCACGACGAAGGAAACTCGGCAATCGGAAAAAATGAAGTCCTTGGATAATAATTCTTGTGCTGGTGTTCCATTTATTTTCAAGTCTAAATATCTCCACATTCTTCTGCATGTCACTTTACTGCATGTCACTTTACACCTTTTGCCTACATTCATTGTTGAATTAGTCCCGGGACCACCGAAAAGTAGTTCCACCTCTAACCTCCACGAACTACACTCTGTGGTGTGTCAGGACTCGCCCCTTCGTGGACGAACCTGCGATAGCATGCCACAACAAAGTGAGAGCGGCGCAAATTTCTGTTCTCCGTCCATGAATCCTTCCCAAAAACATCCTCGCCGCTGCGAGCATGGCCAGCATAAATGAAATGTCTAGGCACAACCGCCGTACGACAATCAGCGTCGAGGAGCCATTCTTGCCGCGCACCAAGAAGGTGAGTTGTTTCAAAGATGTCACAGTTCGTGAGAGGGGGCTAAGAACTAGAGACCACATGCCCATGTCATCTAGATCCCGTTCAAGACCGTCAGCATCGTTGTCCGAAGAGCCATTTCTACCCAGCGGAGAAGGAGGTACTGTTGGTGTGGATGGACCTGGGGAAATCCACACTTGCGCGGGAGCAGCTTGGGCAACTTGGTCTAGTTGCCCAGATATGGTTGCAAGGTGAGCCTGTATATCCTCGACGGCGTGTTCCAGTGTGGGACGAGAGAGCTGTGGAGTATTTTGTGCTGTGAACATCACACTGGGGATAGGTGCGTATCCGCTCAAAGTACCACTACCAGGGGACGCCTCGAATCGTTGGGGCTGCCTAGGAACCACCGGGTACCTAGTATCAGAGAGATGCGAGTATCCTACAAAACCAGCTGGGAGCATCTCGTGCCGTTGTGAAGGTAGAGGTCTACCTGAGAAAGCCATGTCAGACGAACGTGGAAGTCCACCACCATAAGGGAGATATGGAGGGTATCCAAAATATGGAGTAAAGTCCAAAGGTAAAGAATTGGAGGTCGGATGTGGAAAAGGGGAAAAGGCGGATGAACTCTGCACTAGTGGCCCGGGGGGACTAGGCACAGAGGGCATATACATAAATGGGGTCACATTTGGCTGTGAAGGAGAAGACGACGTGGAAGACTGGGGCCGAGCCGAGTGATCCCAGGACGGAGATGATTCTCCAGCCTTATTCTCGGAGTCTCTGCTAGACGGCTGCTGGGAGCTCTCCTCCCCACCCGCGTGTGCATCTTTTTCTTGTGAAGATGGAGAATTTGAACCCTCGTAAGGTGATCCGTGAGAATGTGTTGAAGGGTAGAGAGTTGGTGCTGACAGTGAGTAAGTAGGCTCGGGGATAAGCCGCGGCGGAACTACATAACTTGCATAAGTGCTTAGACCATAAAAATATCACTGAACCAACGTTGGAAGGCTACCGCAGGGTGGTTGGATTGGGCGTCAATGTGTCCCTTGTCGTCCATCGTGAACATCCCTGTGTACCAGCTGAAAATAACAATAAAAGTAGCCTCTGGTAATGCTTATCTAGAAATGATAGCGAAAAGAAAGTAAGAGGGACGATAAAAAAGACCTGAGGAAAACTAGCAATTATCGCCAAGTTGATGGGGAGTTACTAGTCACTGTTGATAGACAAGGTGACCCTGCACAGATATATCTTGCCAAAGTAAGCGCTCATGCCGTAATGAGTATGAAGGCTCTGCTACACCGAGCTCACGACCCCTTCCATAAGCTAAAACAGGACCAGCTCTTTGAGAATTGCCTGGCAGAGTTCAAGTGCCGCTATGAAAGCTGTACAACGACGTTTTTGGCCATTACGATCGAATGCGAGGTAACAGCCTTACAGTAGCGAAGGCCTTTGTACTGTATTAATACACTGCATTAGATCAGAAGATGGAAACTTAATAAAATTTTATGCATCCGGAATAATTATTCGAGATATTCAGAAGCATAAGGATGATGCTCGTCTACATCTACCTCGGGCATATTCTCTAACAAAGACACTGTACCACTTCCAAGTGTCTGTGGTCAAGGATCACAGAGAGTACACCTTGAAAGCTCCGGAAAGGGAATCTGGTAATTGACAAACTGATTGAACGGACAAGAAGTCAAAGAGTTGAATAACTCACCTTCCGATTATCTGCTGTTATGATGCACCAGAATTCCACTTGTACTTCAACGAACCTGTTATTCTCTCCTCGTGCTCACTTATACGTTTGCCTGCATTGGTTATTTGGGTCAATGCAAGGAAAAGAACACGATAGAAGTCTCGCGCGTATGCCCGTCTGATCTATGCTCACCTTTCCAGTATAGTTTTCCCCAAGCCTTTCCATGGTTACCCTCAAGTTTTAGTCTTGTTTTTGTTACCGTCCAGTAACATTGCTGCATTCCCTTCTCTGTCCAACGAATTTGGTGTACCCGCTGTCCAACGCCGTCTTGAGGGTAGCGAGAGAGCACCTGATATAAATTTGCAGGAGTGGTCCTTAGAGATGGAGGTAATTTGTTGGGAAGTAAGCCTTGAATGGCACGAGCTGCACGAGCTGCGGTATTCATGATATGGTTTAGAAGACAGAGAGCTCAAACCAAAGCTTGCAAATGGTAATTTCCAAAATGTTCCGTACTCAAGTTGCCCAAGGCGGGTCTTTCGAAATTCCCACGCTCACCTATGTCCCAACGATATCTTAAGCCTATTGCCCAAGCAGCCGTATTTTTGCGTACATCGAAGAGAGGATTTAAAAACTCTGTCCGTGTCGCAAATACGGAATTCGATGATTGTGGTATACCACGCAAACCGACATGGTCTGTCAAAGAGCTCCTATCTTCGTACCCAACGCCCTCTATCACACCCGCCACTTTCAAGCGCCTGCACGAACTATCGGCCCTCCTACCTCCAGAAGAAGGAACGGAAAAGCATGACGTGCTGAAGAAAGAACTCGAGGAACTAATTAGGATGGTTGAAGCTGTTAAATTAATAGAAGTGGAAGATACAGGGGAACAAGGAGGTGCTATTCCAGATGGGCGGGTGTGGGCTGAAGGAACAGGCATACCGCTCACTCAGTCACCTCCAGGAAAGCAACCTGTGGAAGGTCGCGAGCTGCTGTCTTATGCAGCCCGGGTCTCAGATGACGGTTTATACGTCGTCGATACTGATCGGTCCAGATAATTGTGTTATCAACTTACCAGGAATAAGGTATGGGATTCACTATGCAGAATCGGAAAACTTATTAACAAGCAACTCAGTCTGTATCTGAAATGGCCGGTGTGGGCTCAACTGTACAAGGGTACATTCTGTGTTTGGGCTGCCGTCGTAGGTCGCCAGTACTAATGAACATGCAATAAAGTAGTATAATACATTAATACAGATCGCAAAAATTCTACATGCCATTCGTCGTCTTTTGAAAGTATCAATTGACGTGTCATAGCGATCCGTGACCTCCGGTAGATCCAAAACCACCTGCTCCGCGAAGAGTTTCATCAAGGTCCTGGGTAGAGCTCAGCTCAGCACGAAAGAAAATGGATTCGCGTCTTACCTCCACCTCGAGTACTTCGGGAGTGTATATTCTTTCCATGATAAGTTGTGCTATCCGATCACCTTCTTCCACTAAGGCCAGCGGTTTGGGATGAGAATCACTACGCGTTGAGAAACTTAAACACGTACCCTGAAAGTCTTTGTCAGACAGATTGAATAACAGAACAAACACCACGCCGCGGTAATCCGCGTCAATAACACCTGCACCCGTGTCTATCATAAATTTGGAAGCTAATACAGGTTGAACAAGCTGAAGAACACGCGTAAAATAGACAAGACGAACCTAATCCACTACGAGGCGCGACACGACCATATGTCCCAGCAGGCACCGCGATTGACAACTGAGTGTCAACTAGAGCCTTCCCATGTGCTGGTATCACTTTTTTCTCTGCACTAGCAATAAACTGCGCGTTAATATTGTCAATTAGTTGTGAAAAGACGTGACATTCACCTGTACAAGTCATAACCAGCTGAAAGTGCTGAGCCTCTCGTAGGAAGCCGGGCTTTGTCAGATAGCCTTTTTATCAAAAGCTGAGAAACTGGGGCAAGAGCGTCCTGTGTTTCTGATGCATTGGACATTTTTCGTTTCTTGAGCTGGGGAGAGTTGGCCATAAAGAAGAGCTTGCGGATGGAAAGAATGAAAGTACTTTTCGCTCGCGTCGCGTCGCACTGAGATCGAAACCGTGAAAACTCCGACATTTGGTTCCATGTATACATGACTCCACTTCCTTCTTAGTTACACTATCCACTAGACGCATATATCCACCGCAGTATGTCCCAACTCGATCTATCACAGCAAGAGCTTCCCTTGACAGCCTATTGGTCTCGAGCGAGGAAAGAAAATAATCCAACAACATATTCGTCAAGGAAGCGGAAACGGACAATCCACGACTCAGAGGTAGATGTGGATATAAGTCGTGAGTCGAAGAAACCAAAGAAGAGTGTGTTGAAGGATGCCCAGAGTTATGTGCAGAATACCTTGAAGACACTGATAGGTGTCGGACGTGCGTTGTCAAGGGGGTCTAGGAGTGCTTCACGAGAGAGCGAGGGAGATGCTTCACGCGAGTCTGAAGGAGTGCCTTCCTCTGCTAGGAAGGTGGGGATTAAAAGTATACCAGCCTCAGGATCCACGTACCAAGAGCGAGCTGGCAAGCATGAAATAAATGACTTGACAGCGAAGACACCAACCAAACGGTCTGAAAAAGCGGGTAGTTCAAAGAAAAAACTGGGTCGCATGACTGCCGTTCAGTCTCTGGTAACTCCACCTCCGAGCGATCTAATCAAGAAGCGTGCATCGACGAAAGCGATATTAGCGAGCAGTAGTACCTCCTTTCAGGATCAGTCACGCTTTCTCCCAGCAACTACCGCACCGACGCATCAGACTTCGTTGCCAACTCCTGTAACGAATTTACGCAGACAAACACTACCATCTAAGCCTTCGCTCTTGGTATCGAATTCGTCGCCTAGTTTAACACATGCACCTGGTATATCGCGGCATACACGCAATATCAATGCATCATCTAGTCCACCTATCGACAAACTTTCTGCTTTAAAGCTCACCCATGCTCGGGGAACTTCGAGTGGTAGGGGTATAACACCTGACAATGTTCCTGTTCCTGTATCGGCTGGGGTTAGCTCAGAGAGTCTGTCTCTTTCGTCGAAGGACGATGATGATCCTTTTGCCGCCCCCGTTCAAGGCACTATGGCACTACCCTCGCCCCAGGGAGATGACCTAACTTCTTTACGCAGGTCTCTTTCTTCAGCGCCTCCTTCTCCCAAAGTGGCGTCGCACCAGCTGACCAGCCCAGTTCGTCCATCATCTCCAGCCCTGCAAACTCGTTCCCCTTACATTCATATCAATTCTTCACAATTTTCATTGGTTCCGTCGTCTCAAAGTCAATATCTACTTTCTATAGATGCCACCCCGAAGCGTAAGCGGATCAAGAAGCTCACCGCACAAACCTCTATTGTTTGCAACTCTTCATCGAGGAAGAAGCCTAGTGAAACTGTTCCTACCTCTCAGAGTCCGGAGGAAAGAGAACTTACACCGTCGATGTCGCTACCTTCGACGCCTGCCAAGCTTTCGAAATCAAATCAAGCAAATATTGATAAGTAAGATTATACCATTTGCTTTGCATTTACTATGTCTTACTATCATTTATACTTTGTTTTTAAAGTACCACCGTTATATTACTGGAGGTTCTGCGTACGCCTCCCTCTGTAAGGGATACGCCTCGCCGCAATCACAGTCTACGCAAACAGCTACGTGCATCTGCTGCAGCATCGCCAGCTAGCAGGCGTGCATCCCAGCCTTCATTTCATGCTAGCCCTAATGGGGAGGTCAGACGCAGGCTGTTTAGGTCGCCAACACGTTCGCCTCGTTCACAAAGATCTACCCAGGATCGGGGTGATCTAAGGACAGGCTCTACGGGACAAATCGAACATTCAGCGGGTCTGAACAATATTCCTTTCCATGAGGACGATTCGGCGACTGAGCCAGAATCAGATGGTGAAAAAAGTTTGGTTGCTGGACGTAAGACTTCACTAGGAGAAGTCGACGACTCCTCAACAGAACCGGAATCTGATGTCGAGAATCCGCAATCCATTGCGGGGCTCGGTCACAGACGATCTCGTTTGAAGAGTCTCGCTCGGAGCCAACGACGAGATAGGACTACCAGGAACGTGGAAATGGACGAACGCGGCGATGGAGACATCGAGGATCCACCCTATACTTATGTGGGGAGCACCTGCGATTTGATGCGAGGTGGTGCTGCTCCAAGCATGTCGGGGAGTTTCGTATACGACGAAAGAAGACGTCCTTATACAGAGACTCCAGAGTCGGCTCCCATGGTGGTTAGAGAATTTCTTGATATGTTTCAAGGTGATGGCAGTTATCCGGACGATTTCCCAGAGTCATTGAGGTGTTGATGAGTAAGATCGTGCATGCATATTATATTTCCCCTATCATAGTAGTTACGGTCTTGTTTAGTTCTGTATCATAAGTACGTTTCCCAAGCCACATATGTAGCAATTTAAATGCATTACCTACTATACTCAATCCCCCTGAAGTTGCTTCGTAGAGGAGGTTTTCGTCTTGACCCGTTCTATGCTAGCCATGAGTGTCGCCTGTGAGTCTACGGCTTGGGATGTGACAATGTCTGCAGGCAGGCCTGATGGGGACCTTCGCATGTTCTCTGTTGCTTCTTCGATTAGCTTTTCGTCATCCATGACTCGATCTCCAAACACTTCTCCGAGCTCTTCTAGCGTTCTGTGGGCGGTCTCGACGTATACAAGCCATACGAAGGCACCAGATATGAGACAGAAGCCAAGAAGCAGGAAATAGTAACCGGCTGTAATGGCAGAAAACAGGGGAGGTGTGATAAAGGCCACAATGAAGTTGAAGAGCCTATTGACTCGAGTCAAAACAACAGTCATGTGGCTGATAATGTGCTCACCAGTTTGTGCTGGTACTTAGAGACATTCCTTTGGCACGAGCACGGAGAGGAGAAATTTCCGCACCAAGAAGCCAAGGCGTTGGACCCCAGCTGCACATCAGGAAATTAGGGTCAGTATGCAAGTTAGTAAGACATGGCGAAAACTTGCGTTGCACCGAAGAAGAATAGATATAAGCAAACACCTGGAAAAATAAATAAATAGGGGATTCTACCATTAATCCCAACGAATGAAGAGGTAACGCCGCTAACCAAAGAAAAAGGCCATCAGCAGTTGGCAACCTTGCTGGACCTTCAGGAAGACTATCAGCGTGAAACTGCAAACCACCAACAATCGCAAGAGACCCGGCTAAGCCTAGGCTACCCGTGATTAAAAAAGTTTTTCGACCCCATTTATGTATTAAGAACATCGTAGGGATGGTTCCAGAGCAGTAGATCAACGCACAGGCGCCTGAGAATAGCAAAGAACGACTTATAGTGAAACCGGCGCGAGTCAAGTTCTCCGGCAGAAAATAAAGTATTGCGTTGATACCATTTAGCTGCGCAAACATATGACAAGTTATCCCCACGATAGAGCGGCGGGTGTACTGTGTGAATAATTGACGCCAGGTGGCCTCGCCCATGGTCTCCTCGAAATCGATAGCTGCAACGATCTCGATGTATGTTGCGAGGATGTGAGGGTCCGTAATGTCACCCGTGCCGTGAAGATCTGCAAGGGCGCCCAGACCTTCTTTTCTGAAACCATTTCTTATAAGCCAGCGAGGAGTTTCTGGTAAGAAAAACGTCCAGACAACCAGAACAAAAGCAAAGGCTGCTTGAACGATGTAAGGACCGCGCCAAGATATTTCCGAGGGGATAGCGAAGAAGACCAACCCAGGCGGAGATAGCATAGCCAAAGTTCAAGCAAAAATACTCGATGCTGACGAAAAGTCCGCGTGCGTGGCCTGGAGCTATTTCACACTGTAGTATGGGAACGGTCATTGATAGCATACCTACCCCAAGTCCTTGGATAGAACGACCAACAATGAGAGCAGCAAGGTTTGGAGAAAAAAGTTGGATGAAAGCCGCTATGAGGTAGATGATAGCTCCAATGCGCACAGACATACGCCTGCCTAGGATGTCGCATACATATGCTGCTCCGAAAGAGGCAAGAAGAGCCGTAATGTTAATGCAAGCTACTGTAATGGCTGGATTTATATCGTGTCAATTCTAGTGGTGCTAGTCCGTATTGTTGATCCATACTAACCTTGGGTGAAGGGTTCTACGCCTGTATCTCCTGCTTGAACCTGATCCAGGGTGACTACTTGTCCTCCTTTTCATGACAGAAGGCTGTACTTGCGCAGCGGCTATGATACCTTGACTGTATCCAAACATAGCATCTCCTAAGGAAGCCAGAGCAGAGGAAGCATAAAGCAAGCGTTTTCCAACCATCCATCTTGGAAAACGAGCAGTATAAGTTTTTGGTTTCAAGTGATCCATGTTTAGTAGAGAATGTCGCGCCAAAAGGGGGGGGGGGGGGGCTTCAAAACAAAGTAGATGGTGAGAATAAAAAGAGAATAACACGAATCTATCACGTATAAAGTAGGATCCAAGAAGGAAGGCACCAAAATTGTGAAAATATCTGACAGGCCAATCTGTTATATGGATTCTGACTGTAGGGGTAACTGCAAGTTATTGCTATTTTTTAACAGCTCATCTCCTAGAGATACATAGCAATCCAGAAAAGTGGTATCCGCCATGATTATTGTTTACACGACCAAACAATGGGATCGAATATTTGAAGTAAAAGCCCATTCAAAAATACGTGATGATAAAACCACCAAATGACAAACTCACTGACAGGAATATGATATGATTTGGGACTGTTACATGACAGGATGGATCAATGTAGACACCATTGCCATTCACTCCTGGGGTATGTTCATTATAAGCCTTGAAGCTTGAAGGACGAGGGACAGAGGCCTAACCGATATAGCTGTTACGGAATACTTGGATGGTTGTAGGAAACTAATAGAGCATCGTTATTTGTTATTTAGATGAGTGTAAACCAAGAAACGTTCATACCTCGGCACATCAGGTGTGCGCCAAACCTTTGCACTAGCATGTCAGTCAACGTTCTCTCAGACTTCGGCAAAAGCTTGGAAAATGCGAGAATGAAGCAGACAGAAACAACTCAAACTCCTCGACGAGCCAAATGTTGGCGGCGATTCCCCCTTCACATGAGAGATTACACCGAAGTAGCGATATGGAGATAGAAAACTTGAGAAATGCACTGTGACGAGCAAATGAGTAGGTCTGTCACGTCAGGTGAGCGTTACTTGACGTGACTATTATACCGTTCCGCGTCCCGGCTTATCTCGGCCTCTTGATACCAATGATCTGCAATGATACGGATGAGGTAGATCCGAATCCTCAACTCTTGCTATTATTCAACCACTATCATGTCTGGAAGACTCCAAAGTAAAGTATGTATGTCATGAAAATCGCACAGAATCGTTTCGATAATGCTTTCTTTTTCTCTAGACTGCGCTGATCACTGGTGCTGGATCGTAAGTGTTTGCTAGATGTCTATAGATTATGATGATTGATTCGTGCCTCGCAGTGGAATTGGACTCGAATCATCTCTCCTTTTTGCTCAGGAAGGTGCCAACGTTCTGCTGGCTGATATCAACCTTGCTGCAGTAGAGAAAGCGACAGCACTCGTTCAACAGCGTTTCCCCAACATCAAGGCTTTAGCTGTGAAAGCCGATGTAGGGAAGGAGGCCGATATTAAAGCAGCCGTAGACCTAGCGGTTAGCGAGTTTGGAAGGTTGGATGTCATGGTACGCTTTTATGACCACTAGATTGCTCATCTGCGCTAAAGTTCTGAGGGTCGCTAACTAAGTTTAATAATGCTGGTAAGTAAACGTATCTGGGCGGCTGATCCTTATCTTATTTTATTTGATCCAGGAATAATGCACCCTGAGGACGACAATGCATTGAACACAGAGGAGCGCATCTGGGACCTCACCATGCAAATCAACCTCAAGGGTGTTTGGTGGGGCTGCAAGTATGCAATCCTCGCAATGCGCCAGAACCCCGTTGATGAAGCGAGAGGACTTCACACTGGAGGCAGCATTATTAACACTGCCAGTTTCGTAGCAATAATGGGTGCAGCGACTCCTCAGCTAGCTTGTAAGTCCAATCAGTGGTTGTTTTTGTTGAAGTAATAATTCAACGATCAACTAATTTGGTAGACACCGCGTCGAAAGTGAATTTTCCTTGAAGTGACATGCTTAAATACTCTTAGGCTAAACATTAATAAAGGGTGGTGTCCTTGCCATGACTAGGGAATTGGCTATGGTTCATGCCAGAGAAGGTATCCGAATCAACTCTCTCTGCCCGTGAGCTATCTCTTCATTTTCCCATGCGTTTATGATTAAAAATCTCACTTCACTCCATAGCGGCCCTCTGAAAACGCGTGAGTCTTAGCGAATTCGTAACGCAAAGCCCTTATGAATGTGTCTCCGTGTCACATATCAGCACTATTAATGGATTTTCTCAATACCCCTGAGAAACGCGATCGTCGTCTTGTTCATCTTCCGATGGGTCGCTTTGGTGAGGCTGTAGAGCTAGCAAAAGCAGCCCTGTTTTGTGCGTTTTATCTGCTCTTTCATACCTCCCAGTTTCTGACCTATATTAAATACAAGTGGCCAGCGACGAAAGCAGCTATATGACGGTATATTTCAATTTTCCTAGAAATCTAGTCTCACATTGACGCTGTACGTGATATAGGGGACGGATTTCAAGGTCGACGGAGGTCTTACCTCTGCCTACGTGACTCCTCTCGGAGAACCGGTGCTACCACCCCCTGCAAGTCTTGTGTAAGAACATTTTCCATGAGCAAGTAAAGATACCAGATAATGACTGAAGCTCTCTGAACTGTAACTGAATACGTATTCCCAAAAACCAAGGCGATTTTACTAAGATCAGGACTTAAAGCTTAAATAATTATCCTCAGTCAAGTATAATCCTTATTACGGTGCTGATTCGCTCGTATGTGCTCAAGGTTGACCAAATAAGACTCTATTCGCAACCGATTAGGTTATCATAAAAACAATATTGTGATAGAATAAATTCCATACAAGATAATGAAAAGTAAGGGGAAGTTCGTATCTTACAGTGCTACCTGTGCGTATATAACCGAACCTTATTCGTCATCCCAAAAGAACCCCACCAGTTCAGTCCTTGAGCATGCTGTAATTTAAGTTGCCTTCTTATTTGACCTACGCTTGTCGCCCTGTTCTTTTCTAATCCTAGCTATCTCTTTACCAACATCATTCTGAAGTTGCTTTTGAAGCGCAGGTCGGTAGCCCAACTTGAAAAGTAGCTCCAGATGAACAAAAAAGGGAGCCAAAACAAATGCTATATATCAATCCATACTGGGTGAATTTTGATATCAATAGTCGAACTGGTGTACTGACCTCCAAGTATATTATCTAGCAAGGCAGGGGCCCGACCTTCTGCAAGTCCGTGTCCGAGGAATTGTGCAATCCAGGAGACAACATGGACAACTCCAGCTTTTGTTATCCCGTCTGGCTGGTATGAAAGAGCGGTTGCTGTCAACAAGCTCAAGACCATCTGGGGAGCGTAGAGTATCTAGTTAGGGGTTAAGTCATATGTATCAGTCAGTGAACTCTGGAAAGAACTAAGTTACGAACCGCAGCAATTGGGTCTAACAAGAGATAATAAGCTAGATAAAACACAAAAGTAATAGCAGGGACGTTGAGGTCAAATATGAGCCACTCGTTGAAAACATGGTGGATTTGGGGTAAGAAAACAGGCACAGGCAGGAGAGTTCCGAGAACCCAAGCGCTCCTAAGAAATCATTGATGATTCAGTAAAAGTTTGGCCGTTGTTTACGAAAGGTGAGTACCATAGCAGTAATGGGACACCAAATATATGGATGATGATGTTCACTGGATGGGAATGGTAGGAACCGTAAAAAGTAAGCTAATAAGCCGGCGGTATCTCTGTTAGCGAGATGGAAATGAGGTTTTCGAGGCCGGTGAACAAGCTGCGTACCTGTTTGCGCACATCGAATAACGAGGAGGCCATTGTCGTGGTGGTGTTAATGATAGCCAGCCTTGCATCACTGGCTCATCTCCGATTATAATGTTTCCGGACATGGCACTGCAGTCCATTGCCAGTGTGACAAATCACAAGGATGCCGGATTACCTTTGCCGGCCGATCCGGTCTTGTGAATTCTACCGCGGAGGCAAGGCACACCTCTAATAAAAACCTAGAAACAAAGGATCACAAAGAACCATGGACAGCTGCATGGGTTGTGGACAGACTTCGAGACCAAAAGGAAGAAAGATCCTTTGGTATCTTGAATAACTGGATGCACAAAAAAAGAGGGCAAGAAGTTGACAAAAATATGATTAAAGAATTAAATGTGTTACCAATACACAAAACAGTATTGGCATTAGAAGAATTGGGACACCCTAAATAATTCATTAGGGAACTCAAGGAAATCAGATGAACATTACTTGCAGATTAACAGACCTCTCAACACATAAATCAACAACGATCAATGTGTTACTAGACAGCGGCTGTACAGAAAGTCGCATAGATGGGAAATTCGCAGAATAACAGGGATATGAAAGGCATAGAATCCCAAGACCTATACCAATCTATAATGCCAATGGCACCCTTAATTGGGACAGAAGCATTAAAGAATATATCAAACTATTAGTGGAAATTGACAACCATACCAAAAGACTCTAACTGGCTGTAACCAATCTTGGAACCGGAAGGATGTTCTTATGTCAAGAATGGCTAAAGAAGCATAATCCCACTATAGGATGGTCAAAATCAGGACTAAACCCGGTCTCTGCCTAAGCAGCCATTGTTCTCCATGGAGTAACCATTGTTCTCCTAGGAGTCATTATACTGTAGCGAGTAGCACCTCCGACTATAAGTAGTAGGGGGTTTAGTATAGGAATACCTCAGTTGTTTCTATAGCCTCTCGGGCAGCGGCTGAGTTTCACTTAGGTTTATTAGGTTATGAGCCCTGGTGCGCAAAAGCTACGCAGGAAATAATTCTTATTTGAAACGGCAACCTCGGAACCATGACCACAGCACGCGATACATCCGCATGTCCAGTTCTCACTGGACCCAACAATTTTCAGATATGGAAACTCCGGATCATTTCAAAGCTACGTCGGGAAAAAGTTCTCCGGGCTGTTACTGGAGAAGAGCTTAAGCCCTCACCAGGAAAACCTACCTCCTCGGAGGATCCTGAGATCACCTGGATACTTAAGGATGAGAAGGCACATGGAATCATCCAGGACCACATCTCTGATGCCCTCCTAATGAGGACTGGAGACCTCACCAGCTCCAAGGAGTTATTTGATAAACTTGTCTCACTCCACCAAACGTCCAACATTGCCTCGGCCTCCTATTCATTCCAGCAACTCACCAAATTGTCCTGGGATGGGACATCACCTATCCAGGACCACATTGCGAAAATCCGGACAATTGATTCACACCTCTCCGGAATGAAACTAGGAGTTGATACCAAACTCATGGCTTTGGCTCTTCTCCAATCTCTCCCATGCACTCCTGAATGGCAAATATTTCGGTCATCAGTAATCAACACAATTGAAGAAAATAAACTTACCTTTGATGCAGTTGAGATCCGGATCACTGCAGAAGTTGCACAACAGTCAGGGAAGGCCCCTGGAGGTTCTGAATCAGCACTCAAATCTGAGGAAAAATGGTGTAACTTCCACAAAGCCAAATCACACAACACCTCGGAGTGTCAAACACTTCAGTCAGCTGAAAAAGGTCAAAGGAAGAAGGGAAAGGAAAGATACAAAGATAAAGGAAAAGAGAAGGAAAAGGCAAATACGGCGGAGAAATCATCTGGATCTGACTCCAAGGAGGAACAGAGTCATATTGCATTGGAACATGTACATATTTCCAAGCCCCTTGCTAAACACATTCAAGCTTACCTTCTGTCGGAACCCAATAAGACCAAAACAACAATTATTATTGACTCCGGAGCAACATCCCACATAGTCCCTCACCGCTCCTGGTTTGAGCCAGGAACATACCATGTTCTGCATCCTCCGAGGACAATTAGTTTTGGGGATGAATCCTCTGTAAATGCCATTGGCATTGGAACAGTAATCCTACAAGCAACTGTTGGCAAAAAAGACTACAATATTGCACTGTCAAATGTCTTACTTGTGCCAAACTTCACGTTAGCACTCGTCTCTGTCCACAAATTGTCCAAAACGGGGTTATCAACACTTTTTCCAGCAGGGTCAAAAACTTATGAAGTTCGGAAAAAGGAGGAACTTATCCTCACTGCGTTACACAAGCGAGGACTTTATCACATCCAAGCAAAACCCGAAATCAACCCGGAGTCAGCTTTTGCAGCAGTAGCTGTAAATTTATTGCACAGGAGAATGGGACACATTGGAATGGACCGCTTGCAACGAATGGTTACAAAAAGACAGCTCCAGGACATAGACACCCTTACCGGAACCCCGGAGTTTTGTGAACCTTGTGCTTTAGGAAAGATGAAGAAATTACCTTTCAAGTCCACTGGAGGAAACCGAGCCAAGCGCCCCATACAAATTGTGCACACAGATGTTGGAGGACCAATCAAACCAACTTCCAGAGAGGGTTTTCGGTACTGGATTATCATTGTAGATGATTTCTCCAAATTTCCATGGATATATTTCCTAAAACATAAAAGTGAAGCACTGGAACAATACAAGCAATGGAAAGAAGATATCCAAACATTCTTCCGGACTCATTTGGGAGAAGAAAACTTCACTCCACTATACACAGAATTCCTCCAGAGCGGTGGGGTGTGAGGCAACGATAAACTATAACAAAAACTAAACCTATCTCCTTCTGCACTTGCAGGGAGTAAGGGTTCAATGAGCTTTGAGGTTGACAGACGCTAGTAAATATAGCAAGTAGAGGACTTTGAGAGGTAAGCTTCAAAGGTTCTTTGTTGAGGAGTAAAGCGGGTAAATTCAGTAATAGAAAGCTAAGGAGCCATACATGAATAGGTACGGCTTTATATAGGGAACTGTCCGTTCCTCAGACCGAAAGGAGAATATACGAAAAGTGGTCTGAGGAATTAATCAACCAATAAGAAAAAAGGGAGAGTAACTATTGTATGACTTCTGACTTGATTAATCAGCAGGTGAGAGACTTGTACTAATAATAGAGGATTGTCACGCGTGGTCAGGAACCGTATCCTCATGATGAGGTACGATTCTAGATAAGGCGTTATTAGTATTACCAGGCTTTACTGGGGCTTGGAGCTGGTTGGCGAGATGCCTACTACCAGTCCCTACCCAGTGTGCTGGCTGGCTGGGAGCAATACCCAGTCTCTGATCTGTGATATAAAATGGTAACGATGGTTAAGAAAGCCTGTGAGGGCTATGAGAAGTAGAACGGCAAACAATACCTCTAGCCCTAGAGCCAGAGGCGTAATGGGAAAAGCGTTCAAGAACCGAAGATAAGGGAATAAATAAACGGTCCTTACATGGGGGAGGAGAATATACTGGCAATGCATTCAAGGATCGACTCCGGGGGGGTGGTGTCGTCCAAGAAACTACAGCTGCAGATACTCCGGAACAAAATGGCATTGCAGAATGCATGAATCAGACATTGGCTACATTAGCAACCACTATGCTCCATGATTCTAAGCTCCCAAAGTCATTTTGGGTAGATGCCATGCAAACAGCTGCATATATCACAGCACGCAGCCCAGCATCAGGACTCCATGGAAAGACCCCATATGAAATACTGTTTAAAAGGAGAGTTGATCCAACTTTGTTTCGCCCTTTCGGACGCCAAGCATATGCCTTGATTCCAAAAGACAAAAGGCAAGGGAAGTTTTACTCCAAGGGGTGCAAAGCCATAATGATTGGCTACACACATGGAAAGCAAGCCTACAAACTCCTAGACACTGAAAAACGGACTGTGTTTTCCAGTCAGCATGTCATATTCAATGAATCCGGAAAGGTACAAAAGGATGACACTGCTCCCTGGAACACAGACACTAGCACAGATCAGTGGGAGGGACTCATTCCAGAGAATGCTCACTATCCAGACCAAAAAACATTGGAGGAGGATGATCCTGACCCTCGGATCCGAGATCCAAATGAATTGCAAATGGAACCACATCTCCAAGGAGATGTTCCACAAGCAATGGAACCATATCAGCATGAAGATGTTCCGAGAGCAGTGGGAGCACCTGATCAGCTAAGACACCCTCCACAACAGTCTCTACAACCAAGACCTGAACACTGGCCATCTTCAGAACGGAAAGCCAAAGTAGAGTTACAGTCAGTGGGAGGACAGCCCCTCAACATACAGCCAGCTGATGTGGAAAAAGTCCGAATACAGATAGACAGCCTGTCCATTGGATCAGCTTCTGGAAGGCATACAACACCTCCAAGGAGTCATCCAACACCTCCGAGGAGTGATTCAACACCTTCAGGAGTGAGTGGGGCAACAAATACACAAATGCCTCTACTCCCTGGAGTACCTGCACAAGTTCCTAAAAGAGCAGTCATGCCTGCTGAAGTCCTAGGTGTACGCAGAAGCAGTCGCCAGACCCGTCCTGCAGACAAAAACCGAGATTATCAAAGGACTCTAGATGAGGAATAGTCTCAAAAAGAGCAGCATGACAACTCCATGGAGAAACATAACACTCCTGAGGTTCATGAAGAAACATCTGATACAGAGGAGACATTCTTTGCTGGAATAGCAAGTGGTAGAAGTGGTAAGTGTTGTGACCACACTGGATCACAAGTAGCAGAGTAGTGAACTTGAGAGTAGAGAAGAAGTCTGGATTGGAGTTCTTTTTGTTTTTTTTACAAGGTAAAATACAGGGGTTTATATAGTAAAAGAAAAGTAGGCTATGCACAGTATAGCTGTGCAAAAAGAATGAGAAAGAATATGAAGGAAGGCATGTACGCTGACGAATCCTGCGTAGGTAGTACAGGATAAGATTGTCAAAAAAAGGAAAAGAAAGGGATAGAACAATGAATGCTGTGAGTAATGTCACAGGTTTGTACAGCCATAAAATAAAGTCCAATAGCAAAAAGAGAGCAGGAAAATCATGATGTCATGGGAAGATGCAGTAAAAAAAAGGGCAAGGCAAAACACTATCAGTATCAACACAGTTCCTTTATTGTCAGTCAGGCATTCTAAAAAAAATATGTGTCCATAAAAATGATTCAAAAATCAAAAATAATCGCACTGTAAATGAATGTTCTGCTGAAAAAAACAGAAACTGGAGCCACCAGTCCACCACCTAGTCCAAATCCGACAGTTCCATGGCCTTACCAATGGACTGGTTGTGTTGGACCACCTGGTCAAACGAGGGAGGGAGAGGAGTAGTTCCAATTTGGAACAAGTGAGTCCCAGGCAGCGTGTGGTAGGTGTAGCTGTAGCGAAGACGATGGACAAAAGATAAGTGTACCCAAGTGAATAGGACAGCAATGAACATGGGCGACGCAAGGGGATGAACCTTCTCCAGCTCAAAAACTACCCACCCACGCTCTAACCAGGCAAGACGAGCGACCGATGTTTTGATAGTATATGATGGCAGATCGACGTCATGAAGATGGACCTGTCGCCCTATTTGAACCGGCCACCGGGGCTTTGCTGATATCAGCAGTGGCACGTGGTAGTCAACAGATCGGCGACGGAAGCGGATAGGAAGTGGTGACATCAGAAATGGTGGGGGTGCAAATAAGATGAGGAGGAGGAGGGTGGAGGTGACGAAAAAGTGGATTAGAATGGGGATCCAGAAACGACCATCAGGTGAGAATAAAAAGGAGAGGAAGGGGCCCATGGTGGGGCTAGGCAAAGGAAGGGGAGTAAGGGAAACGACAAAAGCGAGGGCGCAATGCAATGTGTAGCCAGTGGCAACGCGAAAATTTGCTGAAATGCCGAAATGCAGAAAGTACCGAATGGAAAAGCAAAGGTGAGCGTGACTGGATTGCCTAATAGAGGTGGTGCTGATCAGTCACAAGTTCAAAAAGGGCAATATTAATTACTATTCCACGTGGCACTGTGCCTGTGTGGCGCAAAGGCAAGTCTTTTTGAATATTTGCTTCGTTATTGACACCTGTCCATGCTACCAATCAACTTTGGTGCATGACAGCGTGCACACTTTTGTTAGCAAGGTCCTCCCACCTAATTCCAAATATGCCCTTGCCGCGTCTATCTGCCCACTCGAGGAGTTCATTCTCAAGTGTCGTTCCAAAGATTCCAAAACTAACTTTTCCATCTGGAGTGCCCAACAGATACTCGAGTCTGGACTGTTGAGCAGCGAATGCTTGCTTTCCAAGAAAGGGCATGATACACATGGGGGTAGTGTTTTTCTGTTTCGTAAAGTAGATAGATGTAGGTGTTTCTAGCTGACATTAGTTCTATGGCATCAGAGACATCAGCTTGGTTGTGTCGTTGCCCACAAGCAAAAGACACTTGTTCATTGGCTAGCATGTTGGCTCCGCCGGGTACAGAGTAGGTGGTGATAGGGAAGCCAGTGGAGTGGGAAGTAGACATATTTGCATTGAGAGACAGAGGACTGGTGGTATTGGGGGTGATTGTCTCTTGTACGCAGTTTGTAGTCTTTCTTATAGGCTTCCAGTATCTCTGCAGCATTGGTTAAGTGTTCTTCCGGTTCCCATGAGTTTTCAGAATGAGGGTAATGGTGCCATTTGATCAGGTAACAACGTCCACATTTCCAGGGTTTGTGTCTAAGAATACTGTCTACTTTATATTCTTCTTCTTCATTGATAAGGTCAGGAGGTGGTCAGGTAAAGTTCGGACTGTGAGTGTCAGTCTCGGTATACGGGGTTAAGAAGGATACGTGGAAAATATTGTGTATCTTCCAATGGGGAGGCAGGGATAATTGGTAGTTTACCAGGGACGGACGTGGAAAGGTCCAATGCATTTCATGTTGAACTTTTTGTATTTGGTAGCTTTCTCCCATAGGTTGGTGTTTTCTAGCCACACCTTTTGTCCTTCAGAGAATCTGGTGAACTTTCTGTTTGTTTGTTTCATCATCTTGCTTCTCGCTTGTTTGTGTGCTTTTAGGGTGTTCTCCCTTGCCCTAAGTAGTTTGGATAATTATTTTTCTACCAATGGGATATTTGTGGACCAGTATTTAGTCGGGATTCTTTGGGGTTGGTATCCCATGAGGAGATAGAACGGTGATTGGTTATTTGTGGAGTGTGGTCGATGGTTGTGGCAGAATTCAGCAGTTGTAAGGTATTTTGCCCAGCTGTGCAGTTGGTTCTGGCAGAAGATGCAGAGGTAGATCTCCAGTTCTTGATTGGATTGTTCCATCTGTCTATCCGTCTGTGGATGATACACTGTGGAGAGTGCGGTTTTGATGTTCAGGAGTTTGTGGAGTTCTTTAGATACTTTGGAGGCAAACTGTGGTCCTCTGTTGGATATGAGTTTATCGTGTAATCCAAATCGTTTGAAGACAGAATCATGGAAGATTCGTGCGGTTTCAAGTGCATCAATGGTTTTATGACAAGGTAAGAGGATTACCCCCTTACTAAGTCCCTGGTCTACCACGACCATTATACTGTCGTATCCTAATGATTCTGGTAGGTTATGAAATCCACAGAAAGATACTTCATTGGTTCTGTGGTTTTTGGTGTTTGATTCGGGATTAATGGTACCGTAGTTGGATGCATGTTTACTTTAGCTTGTTGGCATATTGCACATCCTTTCACGTATTCTTCTATTTGTTTCATTATTCCTGGCCACCAATAGGACTTCTTAATCAATTGGTAGGTTTTTAGCCTGCCCGGGTATCCCGCAGTTAGGGAGTTGAGGTGATCTTTGATGATCTTTCTTTGTTCTTCTGCTTTGTCAATTAGTAGTTTATTCTGATAGAAAAACCGTCCTTCTTCTTTGCTCCAATCTTCCTTTTTCATTCTTCCAGGATAGTTGTTGTTTGTGAGCATTGCTTGCTCTATTATGTCTTTTATCGTTCGTGCGTGATGCAAGAACACTGATGCTGGTATCATTGGTGTATTGTTGTTGCCTTCCTCGTTGTCGACATATAAATCAGGTCTTCTTGAGAGTGCGTTGGGCACCACCATGTGGGTTTCTGGTACATGCTCTAAGGTGTAATTGTATTGTGACAGTTCTAGCTGCCATCTTCTTTGTCATGGTGTGAGTTTTCTAGCTTCTTGCCAATATGTCAGATTTTTGTGATCCGTTAGGATTTGGATTGTGTGGGGCTTCCTAAACGCAGGTGTTTCCACTCCTTCAGAGCTCTTATTACTGCTAAAAGTTCTTTGTTGTAGATTTGGTAGTTTTTTTCTGTGGGGGATAGAGTTTTTGAGAAAAATGCGCACAGATGTCATTGTCCTTGGTCGTCTGGTTGCATTAATACAGTTCCAGTGACGTGTTTGCTAGCGTCCACTGCTATTTTTGATGGTTTCAAGGAGTCAGGGATTTGTGTTACAGGGGATTTGAGGAATTTTTGTTTCATTAATCCGAAGGCGTTATCTTCGACTTGCGTCCAGTTCTACTTCTTGTCTTTCTCTAGTAAGGTGTTCAGGGGTCTGGCTAGGTCAGAGTAATGACCAATGAACTTCCTGTAGAAGTTTCCGTAACCTAAGAACTTTTGTACACCTTTGGTGTCTTTTGGGGTTGGCCAATTGCGTATTCCAGCAAGTTTGGCCGGGTCCATAGATACTTGGTTGTGGGAAACGATCATTCCTAAGTATTCAATTGTAACGACCAAGAGTTTCTTACTCTGGCGCACAACTCAGACAAGCAAAAGAGAGAAGAGAGAAGGAAGGGATCACCCCTTAGGTTTCAACAAGTTAGTTGTGCTAGACAACAGGAGAACTCGCTGAGTCCTTCCCCATGTATTGCTCCTGTATATATACTAAATACATGAGGTAATGTACAGTTGTAAATAAGGTTTAAAGTCCGATGTTTAGTATGTGACCAGTCACATGGTGAGCCTAGACACTGCTCAGGTGATGTGTCACATGATTGGTCATGTGATTTATGAAAAGTCCGAAAAAGTAAAGTAAATGGTCACATGATCAGTCATGTGACTTGGAAAATAAAAAGTAAAAGTACAAAAAGTGAAGCGTAAGTAGGTGCTGGTATGTCAATTGTAACATCAATGGTTTCTGCTTCAAAGATGCACTTTTCTAGTTTGAGGAATAGGTTATTATTGCGTAGCCTTTGTAGAACCTGTTTTGTTCGGATTCGGAGTCTTTTGATGTTGGTGTCAAAGATGAGGATGTCGTCCATGTATATGATCATCCATCCTATGTCAATGTAGTCTTTGAACTTGTTGTTCATCAGTCTTTGGAATGTTGCCGGCAAATTGCACATGCCAAAAAACATGACCGTTGGTTCAAACACTCCTTTGCTGGTTTTAAACGCAGCTTTCCATTTGTCTCCTTCTTTTATCCTTATGTTGTTGTAGCCCCAACATAGATCTAGTTTCGTAAAAACAGTGGCTCCTTTCAATTTTTTGATGAGGTAGGGTATCCGGGGTAGTGGATAGGGGTTTTTCACGGTATATGTGTTCAGTTTTCTGTAGTCTTGGCACGGTCGGAGTGATCCATCCTTTTTGCCAATGAAGAAGAAGGGGGACACTTGTGGTGACTTGCTCGGCCTGATGTATCCCTTTCTGTAATTTTCCGTTAAGAATTCTGTTAACACTTCGTCTTTTTTTGGTGCCAATGAGTATAATTTGCAATCTGTCGGTATAAATTCTGGTTTTATGTTGATTATGTGATCATATTCCCGTCGTTTGGGGAGTCTTTCTGACTTTTATTTATTGAAAACATCTGAATACTCCTTGTATTTGTCTGGGAGGATATGCTCCTTCTTTTTTCTGTGTGTCTGTGCGTGTTCCATTGCTGTGTTGACCTTTAATCTAATCGTGGTTCAAAGATAGGGTGTTTGGTTGGATGTGTATCTATGAATGGTTTTGTATTTGTCCTCATCTACCATGGTTGTCCTGATCTTTGTTTCTGTAGTTGTTTGGTTTATCCTGATTGAGTGTTTGTCTGGTTTTGGTAATTCCTTGTTTTTCCAGTTAATGACTGGATTAACTTTTTGTAACCAGGGAAATCCCAGTAGTACATCTTCTCTGTCTAGTCCGGTTAATAGGAATTTTGTAAACCTATTTTGTCCTCCTGCATTTACCCTTTGATAGGTGTAATGCATAACTTTTCCATTTTTGTTCGTGATTCCGTCAACATTTTTACACGTTATAGGGGTTGTGAGCTTTTGGAGGGGGAATCGGTGTCTGATGGCAAATTTTGTGTCCATGAAGTCATCTGTAGCTCCTGAATCTATCAGGGCTTTGATTCCGATGGTTTTCTGTTTTAATAAGCAATTGATTCATAAAGAGTTGGCATTGATTGTTGCTATTGTTACAGTTGCCACTTCCAATGGTACTAACATTGGGGTAGTCCGTCGTTTCAAAAACCCCCGTCTTCCAATTCCTTCATCACTTCTGTTCGCTGATCTTCCCCTAACTCCCTCCGCATTCTCATGATGTTATGGACCTTGTCTTCTTCTACCACTGTTTTGGTGTCATCTTCCGTTTCGGTTTGACGTACCTTTTTTTTCGGGAGTTTTTCCTTTATTCCAACAATTCCTTCCTGTGTGCCCTTCTTTGTTGCATATGAAGCATCTCCCTTCTTTCCTTTGGGTTTCTTCTTCGTCTTTGGTCAGTCTCTTTGCCCCGGTGGATGGTCCATCTTTGCAATTTTTGTCGTTCTGTTTCTCCTTGTTTCTGGTACCCCAAGTCCCTTCGGAGATGGCGTTGGCACTGATCCAGTTGGTGTCTAGGTTTGCCACTGTGTTCATACAATCTTTGATGGTGACCAGTTCCTTTCCGGTGAGTGCTCCGCGGAGGAGGGGAGGGCGGATCACTTTCTGATAAACCATGATCATGGCTTCATTGTTGATGCCGCTCTTTCTGGCATCTAGCATGAACCTTGAGTTAAATGTCACTGCATTTTCTCCTGGTTCCTTTTTTATTTTCATCAAGGCGGCCGAGGCTGTTCCTTTGACGTTTGTCATTCTGAAACTGGCTGTGAAGGTTTTCATGAAGTCTACCCACATGGGGTAGGCGTTCTTCTCTTTGTATTTGATCATCTTGGCTTTGCTCTATGAGGCGGCGGTTACATCCTTCATGTAGCTGAGGGCCACGTACACCTTTTTCTTGTCAGAGGTGTAAATGACGGTATTGATAATGAAGTGTAAATTAGTGGATGATATCCATCTTTGGGCCTTATCTGGGGTTCCATCGAAGTCATTGATCTTTCTGATCATCGTGGGTTTGGATGCTGTGGCATTAGACATGGTGCGTGTTGGTGGAACAGGAGATGGATTGGGTGCTGTGAGAAGTATCTGTGATGTGGGAGGGGGTATTGGTTCACCTTCTGCTGCATATTCTTCAACATCATTTTTGTTGTAGACATCTGCTGCAACTACTGGGGGATTGTGTTGTGTTCTGGGTATTAGTTGTGGGTGGCTTTCTGCGTAAAACTGTAGCCAAC